ATCAAAAACTTTCATACGATTTTTACATAAAGCTGATAACTCAGGTCACCAATAATAATTTTAGAAGCTCAAATATTAACCGATCAGGATAAAGCAAACTGAAACTAACGCATTGAAAACAAATATTCTAAAACAGGTGCCTATTCCGCCAGCTTTTCTGCGTTGGCTTGAAAATTTTGTCAATGAAAATAAGAAGATATGTAAGTCGGCCACTACGACTGTTATCTTTTACGCGTCGGGCCCTGTGAATCAATAAATTATGCTCTCCGTTGTGTCATAAATTTCTAAAAATCACCCTCCTTCTTTTTCCAATTCCATCAACAAAATAATAAATGAAATATATTGTCACATTTCTAGTGCAGAGTCATATCATTTATCAGACTTAGTGTGGAAAAGAATATTAACAGATATTTGCTAGTGCACGGTGAGTGTTTCAGAATGTTAACAAAATTCACAAGTTTAAATACTGAAATGCAAGACACAGCAGGAAGGCCCGTGTTATAATAACTGTCTGCAATGATGAAGTAATATGTTGCAGTTGTAGCGCCTCATTCAGCATAACTAACATTTGGATATTAAATCCATCATCTGGATTCTGTTATTGATAGTTCTTACTTAGGTCGTCCTGCCAAATATACATTTAAGGTTTTAAACCAACTGAAAGATATATTGTTTGCTATAAGTTAGTCGCTGTAACACTCTCGTGCACTAATGACATTATACGATAATGACAATATACTAATGTTGTTTTTGTCTTGTCCATATTATATGGAACAATGGTTGCCAGAGTCTACTCCTAAGAGAGGTTGGACTTCTATTTCCCACCCCCCAATTTTGAGAGAGAGCACCCCGGGGGGGATCCAGGGTCTCCCTGCCCTCTCCCTTTCATCAATCCTTACGAGAGGACTTTCTGCTTGCCGCATATTTAGAGTGCCGCCATGCTGCACCGACACTATACATTTACAAACATCCATGTCTTCTCCGGGATTGGAACCCTTACTCTTCGGTACCGTAGTAGGCTTCCCTAGCCAGTATACCGTCTGGGCGACGACAATATACTAATGACAGTATACAATAATAGCAGAATAATGAATGTGTTAACAACGTAATCAAACAAAATTTATAGGAGAAAAAACTCTATATTGCAAGACTTTGAAAATTCCATTTCAGAATAGCTACAGTGTCTCACAAAAGTGATGGGACACTTGTGCTTTACAAAAGGAAACTATAGTAAAATAAATTAAAAAAACATGTAAAAATTTTTTGTGGGTGTGTTTCATATTTAAATTTAGTAACAATTATTACGTAACATACATTTTCCCTCAAAATATTAATTTTAAAAAAATACAATTTTTAGAACGGAGCCAAAAATGGTTCACATAAGTGATGGGGACCTTATTTTTCCATCAAATTTATCCAAAAATTTTTTTTTTAAAAGGTTTTATTACTTTGTTGGATTTCCTTTACTTTTTTAAAAGCATGATTTAATCTTTTGGGATGGATTCGACTAATATTTTTGTGATTTCTGGATGATTTTACCCATTCTTCTTGAAGCAACCGATTTTAATCGTTGTTTTTGAAAAAATGGTGTGTTTTGCGAATTCTTGATTCCCAATTCTTGCCAAATATTCTCTATGGGATTTAAGTCTGGGAGATTGTGGTGGTGTTTTTATTATTTCAGGATAGTTATACAGCAGCCAGAGTCTAACGTTCAAAGCAGTGTGTTTGGGGTCGTTGTCCTGGTAGAATTTAAAATCATTATGAAGGTTCAATTTTCGTGCTGAAAATTTCAAATTTTGGATTTAAAATGTCAATATACTTGTACTGATCCATTATACTGTCAATAAAATCAATATTACCAACTCCAGCGGACGACATGCACCCCCATACCATAACTCCTCCTCCACCATGTTTTACTCTTGGCACCAAGTTCTGTTTGCGAAATTCTTCCCTGGGTTTTCTCCAACACAAAGATTCTACCGTTAGAAGAACCAAATATATTAAATTTACTCTCATCAGCAAATATAACTTCATTCCAGTAATCAGAATTCTTATTTATGTTGGATTTTGCGAAAGCCAGTCTGAGGTTTCTATTCTTTTCACTTACGAAGAAATTTTTCCTAGCTGCTCTACCGTGATATCCAGCAGATCGAATTACTCTTCTAATAGTCTCAGGATTAACAATTACTCCATATAATGCTTGTAAATCAGCAGTAACTTTAGGAGCACTCATTCTTGGATTTTTTTAAATAATTCTAACGATAATTCGCTTTATTCCATTAGATAGCTTTGATGGTCGGCCAGGCCTTCTTTTATCCTGAATCATATGATTATTTTTATATCGTTTAATGATATTGAAAACTGTCGAATGACTCTCAAGTTAACTGTTTCAGCAGTTTCTCTAATAGATTTTTCACGTTCAATATGCAAATTAATAACTAATTTTCGAATTTCAGGCAAAGTTTCTTTTCGTTTAGCATTCATGGCTGCACAGAACTAAAAAACACGAAAATTCCAAAACAAACTGGACAGAAATACTGCAGACGATTTTATAAATTATTGCCAATTGCTTTTGAGTAAAAATAAATTTTTTGCTCCTTTCTAAACAATTGTATTTTTATTAAATTAATATTTTAATATTTTGAGAAAATGTATGTTATGTAATAATTGTTACTAAATTTAAGTATGAAACACACCCACAAAAAATTTTTACATGTTTTTCTAATTTATTTTATTACAGTTTCCTTTTGTAAAGCACAAGTGTCCCATCACTTTTGTGAGACACTGTATTTTACTCTAGATGCAATTTTCTTTGCCAAAGCTAATTTAAAATTCCAGTATTACAATACAACAAATCAGACGAATGTACACATTTAAAAGTATTTCGAGTAGTTTTCCTTCATATTCAATTCGGAGAGGGAATTTATTCTTTCGGGGAATTAAATTAAAAGAATTAAAAAATATTAGAAAATTTAATTTTTTTTTTAAGTTTAACAAAACGTTCTAAGTGTAAAATCACATATCCAAAAATTTATTAAAAATTACATTCGAAACTAGGATTAATTTAAAACGTCATGTTACGCGGAAAAGAAATTCTTGATTTATTTGCATAAAAAATTTTACCTACTCGGAATAAATAGAGCTGGAGACTTTTTCTGGATTAATGGCCTGTTATTAATTGAAGGACAATCTTTTTGAGTACAAAATTTCGAGTTGATTCGCCAACAGCTGTTTTTTTAAGTATTTGAGAAACAAATAAACAATATTTCACTTTTATATATTAACAAGAATAATTTAATGGAACAGTCTGGGAAGACTTGGACATCATTAAACTTAATCGTGACTTTATTACGATTTTAATGCAGATAGTTTTGCAATTTTTATAATGTGCTGGTTTCTGTGACGTTAATAACTGATCTATGAAGTATAAAAAAGCTGCTAATTAAAATCTTTTAAAACCCTTTGCTGAAGGGATATAATTTCATAAAACAGCTAGCGAAACAACATTGTTTGGCGGTAAGTTCAATAATTAATAATTATTAAAAGGCTTACCTTGAATATAGACTGTATTATAGATCTATAGCTACCTGGCAGTAGTTGACTTTCATATAAATAAATAAAAACACAAATAACATTTCGCCTTTTCTATGCTCTACTAAAATATTTTACTTGTTGACATTTTTGTGGAATACTGAATTCTTAATCGTTTGGTTTTCTTTTTTCTTTTTTTCCCCATTTGTTGCCACAAAAACAAAATCAGATTTAAAAATACATGTGCATAAAACATCTGGCGCGAGGACAGTGCCACCTATAGATAAAGATAAAATAAGGCATAAAAACATTTTGAAACTTAACACCTGGTGTAGAGTCTTTCTTTCTGGAATTCATTAGTATTGTTCCATTATTAAATATTTCGGATTCCGGGTAACACGGGCCAGCCGTTTCGTGAAGTGCCGAGACATCGGGCTTTAGCCTTGTACTACTGTATAACAAATTTACCACTAGTCCTGTTGAAAAAGATACATAATACCAAGAAATGCAGTAAAACGTAAGGTGTTTAAAAAAAGAAATAATTTTTTTTTTTTTTTTTTAAATCTGAAAGCTTTCAGATTTTATATTACGCCCAAACGAACGTTTTTTTAACGTTTTGTGTGTTACATTTATTTTTTAAATATCATGTTCTTCGCACTTAAAACACATAAAATTCAATTCAACAGCAATATCGAAAAGTGTTTAAAAACAGCATATCTTTAAAATTTGCGATACACAGTCTCACGCCCTAGAGATAAAAAAAAAAAAAAAATTACGTACAGTGTTACCATTGCTCGCTTTGAGATCGTTGAGCTGGTTAATTAAAAACGCGTTTAAGTTTTACAGAATTTTAAATAGATAATAAAACAAATTCGAAATTCAAAATTCGGTCTTCCAAGTACTCATGTTCGGTTGGAGGACTACGTTATTCAAAATCTGATGACTGTAGGTACCGTTGTTTCTTCCCAATGAGAGAAACATTCGTGCATTCATTAAGATTCTTCATTATTTATTTTCTTTAAATATAATACATAGGGATAATATTTGATGGCAACAGTCTGAAAAGTGAATCGACTCAAAATATCGTTATGAAATTACTTAATAACCCTTCTAGGCTAACTCCCTTTGGACTAAAAAAGAACTTATACAATCAGAAAATTTAATTTAACACAGAATACTTACTCCTGCATTTGAGTTAGATTAAGTTAATTGATTAATGCAAATGCTGTCTGTCTCCGAGATGTTTATAAATACGAATAGATTTCCTAATAAAACTACTATAAGAAGATCACTTTACAAGGTAACGCACGGCAAGAGTGGTTTTGTCATTTTCATTTAGTCAATCACGCATTTCGAATTTGTATTTGCAGAACTCCAACGTAATTATGTATAGGATAAGGGGAAACTTTTTTTTTTTTTTTTTTCCCTCGTACGAGCCAGGCTTAATTTGTTTCTTTTTCTTCTTTCAGGTCTATTGGACTTTGGATAACATAACATCAACTTCCCTAACAAGATCAACATTGCAGAGATGAGGCGGTTTTGGTACGCCAAGTACGCAATTACATTGCTGGCGTCAACTGCTCTGACGTTCCACCTGCTTCATTCACGAATTAACGTAACCATTAATAAAACTACATTTCCATCACAATCACAAAATCTGCATTTACCGCCTTCAAACTATATATTCACCAAAAGCACGACATACTTGAAAAGAAAATTATCTCAGGGCAATGCAGGAATGTTCAGCAAAAGTCAAGTTTCCCCTGCCTGGGTAGTTCTCCCAGGCAACATTACTGTTCATGAGGGTTACCAAAATGTGCCGTTTGAAATTTCTTATGAAATGAACACTAACATATGTGATGACTTTGATGAATCTAGAAGGAAACTGCTAGTATTTGTGGCTTCCAGTGCCGATCACTTCATGCAAAGAAAAGCAATACGGGAGACATGGGGTCTAAAGTTACTCCAGAATGCTTACAACTATAGAATAGTGTTCCTTCTTGGAAAAGGTCAACAACACAAGCAAGATTTGATTGCAGATGAGGGATATCGATATGGTGATCTAGTCCAAATCAACTTAACAGAATCATTTCGGAACCTCGGTCGGAAATCTGTTGCAGGGCTTGAATGGACAAGAACTTTCTGTCGTAAAGCAGATTTTGTTATGAAGACGGACGACGATATTCTCATCCATATTCCAAATCTACTCAACGCACTGAACAGTGTGAAATCTCCTGACACTTTGCTTATGTGCCATGAAAACAGAATGCGTAAAATCTTACGCAAAGATCTTCTGGATCAAGTGTCTCTGCCACCTAGTTATCATAAATACGAAGTGTCGGAAAATGAATTACCTGGGGAATATTATCCGCCCTATTGCTCTGGTATGGCATACGTATTCTCAGCTGCGGTAAGGGACAGACTTCTAGAGGCAAGTTTCGTCACACCTGTTTTCTTCATCGAAGATGTTTATTTAACTGGATTTTGCCGACACAAAGCTGGTGTTGTCATTACTCCCCACGTAGGTATAACTCTTCGACCACCGATAACTTTCTACCAGGCGGCGTGTATTTTCAGGGACGGCCGCATTACATCACAAGAGGTCGACACTAATGAGCTTCGTCAGCTATGGGTGGAACTGAATACACAGGGATTCTTCTGCCCTCAGTTACTCGGTTACGCCCGGAAACAAGCTTATCCGGCGTTACATAGGAATGAGCTTTACTAATTATTGTAGTGTTCTATTTATTTATGACTGCATTCCAAAGAACGGCTTAACGCACTTGCACAGTTCTCTACTTTCTGAGATTATTTTGTGATGCGCGATTTTAATTCCCAAAACTCTTTCACCTCATAACTTTTAACATTTATGTGAGTAACATATATTCTGACATTGTTTTCCACTTTTTCTGTTTTGTTATATCGTATCATTCATTATTAATTTCTATCAGTGGCCGAGAAGTTAAGACCATTGAACTACAGTAGTTCCCCTGAGGCCATTAAAGATGGTTTCGTCTGATGTCATTCTAGTATCAGGGCCAAATTTCAGGTTTGAAAGAAATTTTGCTCAGCAGCTGCAGTAATTTTATTTAAATAAATTTATATATTCTTAATTCATAGTTCAACACAAAAAGAAAAATACAGAAATGTAAACAGATTTCAGAACATAAAAAAAAATTAAGGTGTACATATTAAATTTGAACTATGAAATTTCTTACTTTTATATTTAAAGTGAATAAATTGATTATTTGATACCTGCTATTCTAGATGTCAATGATTTTACGTATTTTTTCAGTTCTTTTTGAGTATCCCATTTCTAAAGTAATTTTTTTTGACTACATGAATTTTTTTTTTAACTATGATTAAAAAATTATGCTTTAAGGGTTAGAGTGCCATTTTAGATGGAAGGTATTGATTAATAATATCTCTTTCTTTTTAGAATATGATATTAAAAATGGGGAAAATATTTTAATAGTTGCAGATATTTGATGCTTTGCATCTACAATTAAATCACGTACAATTGTCTCCTGACCTACAGAGAATTACAGAGACTGTTTTATACTAATTTTGCTTTGCTATTAAAAAAAAAATCTGATGTGTACACCACATGACTTCCCTTGTATTGGAATATTAAATTATATGCATTTTTTCTTGCATTTCATTTAAACTTATTGGATTGAATTAAATCTACTTCGCCGACAGCGCATAAACCACAATAGAATACATGCATTTTTAAAATTCACTCTAGTATTTGTTTAGCATAGTGACACTCTGGCGCTAGATTCACTTAACAGTATCATATTTCGTTCATATTATAACTCATAATGCACAAAATTTATATCATTTAAAGAATAAAATTATCTAACCGTTGCCACATGTTCTAATCAAATACTATAATAAAGCTAGAATGATGTATAAAAGAAATTAAGCAAACAAAACAAAACAGAAACAGTTTTTCACAGACGATTGAGTATTTCTCATTCAATTAATTCAGTTCTCACTTCCCGAGAAGGCAAAAATACGTAAAAACTCAAATATCTATATTAAAATTACGAAGTAAATTCAACACCTTATTTTCCTCGAAACAATTACAGAAAGAATTAAGCTTGATTGAATTGGCAATAAAATGAATGCGTTATCTTTGTTGTTGGGAAGCTAAGTTTCTCTAGATTGGCAACAAATCCACTAGTCTCCTGTTTCAAATGTAAACATCAATGGCCGCCATTAAAAACAGGCTTAGCGGCAATTAAACAACTTTAAAATTGTTGATAATTCTAAAAATGTTGCACACAGATTGACTAAAGGCATAAAATCCTTAACCGGAAGATAAAAACAACATAATTGAATAATTTTTAAAGCAAAAAATGTACAATTTACAAACATATAAGAGTAAAGAAACTGAGATCACCGAGTAAATATATATATATATAACTATATTTATATACGTTTTGGTGCGGCCGATTGCAACCAAATACGAGGCGCACATCTACATGTTATAGCAGTCCCTATATACAAAATTTTCAACGTTCTGAGGCTACTCGTTTTGAGTTATGCGAGATACGTACGTACATACGTTCGTACAGACGCCACGAAAAATTCTCTTCAGAATTAATTTTAAAGCAGTTTTATAATTTTTTTGGAGGAAAGGTGTCTTTTATTCTGTCCTTACGCACAGATATCACGGAAAAACATCGTTAAATTGCATTCGATAGCGGTCAAAATGGGATATTTTCGTTGAAATATGCTGCCTGAAATTTTTCGCGATTACAATACTTCGTTTTAACTTCGTACAAGGAAGTAAAAAAGGTCGTCTGCTTGAAAATTTTTGTTTTAACTTTTCATTTCTTGCTTCGAAGAGGCTATCAGATGTGGGTGTAGATGTTTTCGCTGGAGTTAGGGCAGCTGCGTATGGTTTATTTACCACTTAATCAGAAATTCTGGGTCTGTGAGGCCGTCGATTTTTCGCTGCATTCCTTTCCAAAGGAAATTTATCGTCATACGTTTTGTACGTGATAGGGAGCATCTATCAGCATTTGGCATTCGAGCGGCATCGCGCTGGAATTCAACTTTGGCGAACATCCTGAAGCGGAGAAAGAACTGAAGACTTTGTTCTTCCTGTTCAGTAAGAAAATCCATTCGTTTCCTCGAAATTCAGAGCTGACGTAGATGAGGAGTCGATCCATTGCGACTTCGTAAGTCGTAATAAAAATCAGATAAAAAAATCTAAATAGGCACAAACCCCGATCAGGCCGTTTTACAGTTCAACAAACCGAAGTTCTTCAAGCAAACCTTCAAGCTATGGGCTAAGTGACAAATTACGGAAAATCACGAGTGAGGGGACATTCACGTTCGGGGTCTGGCGAGTATATAAAGACAAACTTCAAAACCTAATTCTTTTCTTTTTTTGAGGGAAATTCAGTTTATTAATATTTATGTATGATGGGCCCTTTTGAAGTTCGCGTCTTTTCGAAAATTCGTATATTGCAGTGACCGACCTAAATCTTTTCACTGAGAATAATGGAAAATTGAGACGCATGACATGTCCCCCCCCCAATAAATAAGAATCAATAACCAAAATGTGAAGCTCGACACCAATGCCACATCAGTCAATGATAAAAAAAACACTAATTTTGACAGCAGACCCGATTTATTTATTGTATTGCATAGGCTGCACATCCTTCCCAGCGCCACTTAATTAATCTTCTATAGGTGTAGTTAGGTAACATGACATCCAGGATCGGATTTACGTACAAGACATAGCTTAGGACTCCCCAAAATTAAAATAAAATATAATTAGTATTAAAATATATTATAACAGGCTTATAAAGGGCCCCATATCTCAAATAGCTTAGGGTCTTATCAAGTCTGAATCTGGCTCTGATATGCTCGTGTGTACCTATGTGTGTATATACATAACATATATATCTATATACACGCATGCCAAGTCAGTTTTACATGTAAACTTACATTAATATAAAAAAATGCACAAGGAAAGGTTCTATTGGCAATCTTTAAGACAGCAAACTTAAAATCTTTTTAATAAATTATTTTTTATGTTTATTAAATACTAACTCAAATTTTAAATGCTGGTAGAATGTCTGAAGTACAAATATTTTACGTCTAAATGTTTGAAATTTTAAGCATCCATGTCTTCCCTGGGATTCGAACACGGGGCCCTCGTTACACCAGTGAGCATCACAAACCACTATATCGACTCGATGGCACAAAATTAATTCAGCAGGCATGGTGGAATTACTACATTCTTTTAATTACAGTCCTCAAAAACTGTTCATTTTCAAGTAACACTGATAAATAACCATCTACCTTCCTCAAAGTACATTTAATGTACTTTGCAGTTTCAGCTTCACAATTAACATCTGCTCACATTCAGAGCTACATGATCCGACTTTTATTTATGGACATCCACCAAAATGATGGGTATATTATGCCCAAAGGGGCGTTTTTTTCACCAGGGATTTGAAAAGTGATACACATATTCAAAGTCATTCGACGCAAAATACCGTTAGACATTGTAACACCTTTGCATTGTTACGCTACCAACATACAGTAAGAAATGCAAAGAAACGTCGCGCATAAAATATCCGTGCTTGAAGATGCATACTATGTTAATGGAACTCTGAGTTTATCACTAAAAAATTTGTTAAAGTTATACAAAATATGAAATAGATAATACAACAAATTCCAAATTTGGGTTTCCAGATGCCAGTATTCGAGCGGAGGACTACATTATTCAAAATTTGATCTCTCTAGGTATCGTTTTTTTCATAGTGTGAGAAACATACATACATTCATGCAGATTCTTCTTGGTGGCAACAATTTGAAAAGTGATTGACTTTTATGTCTGAATGAACAAAAAATGCCAAAATGCAATTATTAGCCCTTCTAAGCTAACGCCCATTTGGGCTAAAAAAAAGAAAAACTTGTTAAAAACACAGTATTAACACTAGAACAACTGATGGATTTGTAACACTAGAACAACTTATGGATTTGTAACTGTTTTTATCAATGTAAAATAAGTTACAATAGTTTCAGCATTAACAGTTTTATCACAGCAATCTTCATCGATATTAACTATTCTCTCCAGCAGTTCAGTCTCTCTTCTTGAATTACTCATGATCACTAAAGAAGGGTATTTCATCAGAATAAAGTAAAACTAGTATTTTCTTCTAATTCTATCATGATACCTGCTAATAATAATCTGATACTTTCTTCTGAATCACCTCCACTCGCACCAACTGAATCTTTTTCTAAGGCGTCTTGACCCCAGCGACTGTAGATCGTTCCTTAATCTTCAGCCTAATCATGACATATTCTTTGTTCTAACGAGCTGCGGATGCTGGGCTTGAAGTTGTCAAAAGATATTCCTATTGAATTATGATATTTACTTAGTATCCAATTTCTAACTACTTATACATTTGTCACCACAAAAATAATTAAAAAAAAAAACCTGTTTTTATTACTATTAACTATGAATCTTTACTATACAGGTATATCATACAGAACTCTGAAACTGAAAGGGCTGAAGGGGTAGTAAATTTGTTATGTATTCATCTCATTAGATTGATAATTTTCAGCATATATTAGAAAACTATAAAAATGGCGTTTTTTTTTTTTTTTTTGTAATTTTGCTTTTGCATAAATTAGAAAACTATAAAATGACGGTTTTAGTAATTAATTGCGAAATGCTTATGAAGTGTGAAATTTGTCAAAATGGCAGGTCCCCTAAATCTAGTGTTAACAAAACACCTAATCACTGATTACTTTTTAAATCATTCACACAAGCACATTTACACTGCTGGATATAAAATCTGTAGCATCATGAACATCAAGAGATATGAAAGCCATATTTATTGGACAAATACAAGGTAAAGCTGAATTTATTAAAATAACAATCCCCTCGACTATTTTGTATAGCTCCCATTAATTGTTGACATACCTAGTCAGTGAATGCAAAAGAGGCTTTGGATGCATCCCTAGGTTACATCAGCCTATGCTGTTTTCGTGCTTTGTCAAAGCTGCATGTGGCGTTTGACGAGTCAGTTGTTTACTAATCATTGACCAGACATGTTCATTGAGAAATTAATTAGAACAAGTAAGCAATTATTTTAAATGCTGTGTGCCTGTGCAGTCGCTTGTCCTGCAAAAGGGATGCTCCTCAAAATTTCATACGTAACATTGGCTGTTAAGTGTGTTAGCATATGCAGGAAAAATGTCCAACAGCATCCTAAACTACACTACACATGTGGGCTGGTATGACGATGTATAATGCAAAGGTTACGATATGTCTCACTGCAGTAGTATCAAACCTAGTTATGTCGTTGATGGCAGAATCAAGTTTTGTTGGCCCCCAGTCCTCTTATTCGGAGTGCAACAATGCTGGTTCGATCATTCTACACCCACCTATTCCATATTTATATCATCATGGCTTAATTTCATCCACGAGTACTAGTTTCTCAGAAGGATAATTTGCAGTGTTTATGGATCCAATTCTGTCAGTCAAACTCAGGAACTTGTTTGAATTACTGCTCTTTTCGTTTCAGCAAGGCATAAAGTTTCTTCTACAAAGAAACAGTAATGCAATCAACAACCTACTTTGTTCCCTTGTTAGATGGCATATATGATTTGCATATATGTTACCGCGAAAGACCGAAATTGGAGAATGTCAACATTCACCAAATGCATTGAAAGATTAAATATTGCATTACATTCTTGTACATTCGGACTCTCACCGGTGTATGTCAACAATCACAGATGTGCTCTGGTGTAGGGTGAAAAGAGAGGAGTATATGTACATGCTGTACATAAAAAAAAAAGTACATTGTGAATGTTGACATTCTCCAGATTTCGGTATTTCACCGTAACATATACACATATTTCAAAATATTTAATGAAAGGTTTTAGAAATTTTTGTCAGTGAATAAATTAATAAAATTCTCAGAAAAAATTAAAAACAAGACATTTTAATTAATTACATAGCTAATTTTGCTTTTACTAAGAACTGTTTCGTAATTATGCTTTGTAGCTATCTTGTTTATTTTTCCAGATTAAAAATATTGCATAATAAGTTGCCAAAATGAAACTTTATAATATGACAGCGAAAAATAAAAATGTTTTATTTTAATGTTATTTTTTAAATATAATTTCAATTTACCATTATTTTATTAATTATCATGTTATGCTGTTTAAAAAAAATCGCCGAAAAATTTTCAGATCTCGGAATTAAAAAGTTTATATAGAAACTAATCTTAAAATCGCCAAAACATTGAAAATTTTGAAATATGTGTATATGTTACGGCAAATTTAGAACAGTTTAATAAAAGAATTCACATCCCCAGAAGCAAAAAGTTGTTCAAGAGCTCTTTACTAGAATAAATGAATTTCGAAATGCTTGTTTCACTTTTTGCTTAGAAACTCAAGGATCCCATCATTTATATTAGAAATAGAAATAAATTATAACGAGTATCCCATCATTTATATTAGAAACAGAAATAAATTATAACTCATGAACCCATTCAAAAGATTACCATATATACAGCAGTGAATCGCCAAAAATATTCCTCAAAATGACAGTCTTAAAAATAGACAGAAATTTCAGATGATTAAAATTAAGGACCTCCTCTTGATTTTGGCCAAAATTAAGGACTTTTAAGGACCAAAAATCGATTCCAAAAAATCTAAGGACTTTTAAGGACTGTACAAACCCTGTTATCAAGGAGATTAAACTGCTTTCTGAAATCAAAGCGATTATAAAGTTAATACTCTCCAATCACTCTCAGAATATCCTAGATATATATATATATACACAAGGAAATCTTGAAATATTTTAAACAGTGACTGAAGTCATTATTTTTTGATGAGTTATTCCCCCGCCCCCAAAACACTACTTAAATGCCATGGCATATGTAGGACACTACATCTTAAATGGTGATAAATTTTTATAGCACGCTTTTGTATTCAACTCCTTTAAAAAAAATTAAAATCAAAGCTCAGAATCTTTCCTATTTATGAAAATGGTTCTCTAGAGTGTCCAACACTTCTAACAAATATTTGTTAACCTTCCAGCATGCGCGTATATGTACAATTTATGACAAATTCAGTTTTAAATGCAAATTTTTCGCATATCGAAGCTGAGATTGTCTGTAAGTCACTTCTATTCCTTCTTTTTACCCTTTTCCCCACATCATGGAATGTGCCAACAGGAAGTAGACTTTCTTTTTCTTTTTTAACTGGGCTTTTGTGCTATGTGGCAGCTTTATCATAAAAGTTACGACACACACGTAGTCATGTTTTAAAATTCGGAAAATATTTTGTAATTTTCGGTTATTAATTGACATGTATTTTAATTTGAATAGATTTGGCTCTGTAAATTTTATATCGGTTTTCATGGCAGAAAAATAAGTGCAACCAGCTGAATTTGCTCAGATTCTTCTAGATATTTCTGATGAAGAAAAGGAAACCTTTGGATGGGAGAACAATAGCTATTTCCATTCCTTATTTTCTTTTATTTCTATTTTTTAGAAAAAAATAAAAACATTAAAGTTAGTTTAAAGTGCATTTTGGTAACCAGTGAGAAGTATATTTCCTTGCAGAAGTTAAGTAATCATAAACTTACTTTTTTTCCCTACCAGGTGTTTTCCTTTTTATAGACCTACTTGCCTTGAAGAATTCAAATTACTTGATTTTAAATATTATTAAATAAAATTTAAAAATTTTCTATAATGATATAGAAAATTTTAAGTTTAATATTTGCATTTCAAGCTCACTAACATAAGAACTTAAAAATAATTTACTTATATTTAAATGTGATATCATTCATATTTTGCAATAAGATTAATATTTTATTACTTTACAAATCCATTCACTCATTTCTGTCGTTTTTCGTGCCAAAAACGGTAAAATAATGGATGTCGTAAAAAATACGGCGTGCGTGTGCTCATGTAAAATTGCCAAGCGCACGTGCTGGAAGGTTAAAAGCATTTTCAAACAGGAAGTTGCAACATACAGTATGAATTACTTACAAGAGGAAAGAGTAAGGTTATCATATTGCATGTTTAAACTCTCATAAGCTTCAAATATCTTAAAACATTTTCAATGTGCTATGTGTATGTTTAATGACAAAAAATTAACTGCTGTAATCATGCAAATTTAATTTTACCATTTATTTATCCTAATATCACTTACTCCACAATATAAGAAGATATTTACTGGACATCATTATGCTTAACAGAATTATAATATATAGGTACTCTCTGTATAACATGTTCAGCATATTTGTAAAAAATGTGTGCATTTTGTGAATTCGTGCTTTATGATCCACAGGCTTAGTAGGATTAGGTTTCACATTGAAAAAGCTTACTGTTTTCATTTTGTACTACGAGAAATATGTTTATTACAATATGTAACCAAAGGCATTAGATGGTAATTAGAAAAATATAGTTCATTTTTACTACTAATGACCCATAAATAAGCATGCTTTCTTTTCAGAGAAACACCCTCATCTCCTGAGCAGAATCTATTCTATGTTGCATTTTCCCTGCTCCTTTCAATGCAAGGATCTTCATGTAGAAACTAACTAAAACACTATAAATGGTGTTTAAGATGCCTGCTTATGATTCTGAATAATTTCGGCTTTTTAAGGGATGATCGTATAATAAAAACCACCATCAGCGAGATCAATTATCAATTCACATACTAGATTTAACATTTATACACAGTGTTAAAAAAAATACTGATGCAGAAAAACGGTACGTCAGTTTATTTAAATAAGAAGAAATATATTAACAAACAGCAGTGAATACTCTAATAAAAATAAACACCTTTACACAACTTAATTTTCTAGAATACTCTAGATAAATTATTTTCAAAATATGAAAAAGATATTTCTTGTTTAAAACAAAACAGAAAGAGAGACATAGATACACTGAACTATAATCACAACTGATTGTAAATAAGACCAAAAACAAAAATAAACTGCTTTTGGCACCTTTTTCAACACCGATTTATTATACATCACCAGCAGTGCAGATCAGAGATGAAAAGTTAATAAGTACAAAGATGTGATAAATTCAAAGGATGCCTACATGATAAATTAATTACACAACATTGAATAGATAGCTTTTGCAGGCTTCACCTTACTGAATGAAATAAACACACCGAGTTGATGATAAACTACTTTGTTCCACAGAAATAAAATTTGCTGTTACTGTAAGAACCAATAATGTAGCTTCGATTTTGTTGTATATAAAATATTTTAGTTTGATAGCAAAAGCTGATATTAGATGGTCTCAGACAGATTATAGAACTGTGCTAGAATTATTAATATTGTTGCTTATTTATGTTCTCACAAGCACTAATCATTTTCAGAGGCATTATCTACTGGAAAACTCACTTGTATTTTGATATGTTACTATGCTGAAGTACTCGCAGTTCTGCCATAGGTTTTCGGTAATGGCAATGTTCTTGGTCAAAACATGTTAGATAATGATGTCTAACAGAACTTTTTCTAAAGTTTCAAGCTATGCTGTACGAGTGCTACACTACACGTACTTAATACACATATTATCCTTATATAAGCATTAATAGGAAATAAAACATTAAAAAGCAATTTAAATATTTCTCAAAGATATAAAAATATATTTTTCCCAGGAAAATCTAAATTAAAAATACAAAATCTGTAAAAAATATTTCATCCGACTATTAAAATCTCAATTACGGTAATGTAAGTTTCAGACATCAGAAATTGTTAACAGCACTATACAAGATAAATTTCATTGCATAATTTATTCACAAACACTGTAGAAAAAGTGATTCATATAAAAAGGGCACATAAAATAAAAACTCAAGTCTTAGAGAAAATTCTAATACTTGATATCTATAATTTTAAGCCAAGTGAAGAAATCTAAATACTACATGAAATATTTATGTTTAGACAATGCAATTTGAAATTATGAATATTTGCTTCAAAATATGAAGGAGGGACATTGCTATAACCTGAATTTGCAAACACCCATATCATCATTAGTATGACTGCTTCATTACTTCCCCAAAACAGAAAAGACAATTTATTTATATGATGTGTGATAAAATGCATTCAATAAGCTTAGTAATACCAAGCTGTGCATTTTAAAATTTACATCACAGATACGTACATTTTCGAAGAAATACAGCTAACACTTCACAAACATTTTGAAATGTGTATAAATGCCAACAATAAAACAATATATTTATCGATATTAATATTACTGTCCCATTAAGACAAGCATATCCCTTCAGCATATGCGAATGCATGCAATGGTATGGTTTAAGCTATAAATTTTACTATCATAAATTTTTAAGTGTAAACTAATTTAGATAAGTTTTTTTTAAAAGGCTCAAAAAGCAAAATTTGAAGTTTATATTGAATTTACATAATATTCAGAAAATAGTTATACTTGTTCAGAAGATTTTTAAACATTTTTACACTATAAACAAAAACTTTTGGCTAACGTTTACAAAGTTATTAAAATTTTTTTTAAAATCTTTATATTTGAAGAAAAAAGTACATATATTTAAAAGAAATGTTTGCTGCACTGATTATATGTTTAGCTGCTATTTTAACTCACTTTACTCTAAATTTATCATTAATCACAGAGATTCCCATTGGGGTTGTTGTTAGACACCCTGATGGTTGAAGAAATATTTTAAGGGAGTAGGAAACTTTAATGTAAAAAACTGAAAAGGATAAATTATGATTAAAGAGAATGATAGCCGAATATTCACTGGTAATTGGTATAATCAAGATCTAATTAATTACAAAAATATGCATTAATAAAATTGATAATTGTTTATTGATATAATGCTGTTTCACACAGTAATGGAGAAATTACAAAATAAACAAAAGAGGAAAGTATGCTAAGATTAATTAATACATTTTAAAAATGAGTATTTTTTTGGTGCAATATACAAAGAATATGATTATCCATTACTGAAAAGGACTGCACTTCTTCCGAAAATATATTCTTATATACAAACCACTTACAAAATTTAAACAAACAACAACAACAAAAAATCGAGAGGCAAGAACAATTGATAGCATTCAAAAAGGATCTTCAAGCACAAGTTTTCTCAAAACACATGGGTATGCTAAATTTTAGAATTTGAGTCGGCAGAGTGAAGTACCCCAAAATAAAAGCTGTTACCAAACCAACATTATTGACTTTTCTGTCTTCTTACTTAGTGGAAGCAAGCTCTAGTCAATAATTTTACTATGGAAACAAAAAACAGGTTCAATATTTTTATACAAGGTGATTAAGGAATTACATCTAGCAAATTTATGCCAAATATTAAAAAAATTGCATCAACAGATCAAAATAGACATCACATTAACTATAATATAACTTTTGTGCAGTTGGAATGTGATTTTGTCATTGTTTCTTAATGCTTATATTTGTAAAAATAAAACTAATAAAAGAAATTTAATAACCTATTTGTTCAAGTTTTTAAGCTAATTATTACCTTTAAGTTATTTATTTGTTGCATTATGATTATACTGCGTGCTGTATGTTACAGAGGAAAACGTAAAGGGATCAATGAAGAAAACCATTCTTTCAAAGGAGGTTGATGAAAGAAAAAGTTTGGGAATCCCTCATGTACAGAAATTGCATGTTCAAAAGGTAAATGATCCCCTGAAAATGAATATTCCATGAATTAAAGAGAAGGCAAGCACAATTTTCATACTTGGATCATTCTATTCATTCTATTTCCCCCTTTTTTTCGGGGTGGGTGGGGTAGCAAGGTTAATAAAAGTTCATATCTTTTTCGATGATTTTAAAAGATATTATGAAAGCTTGAATCACTCTGCAAAGGCTATACAATAACATATGGAAATTTTTAATAAACTAAGCTGGAATAAAAGAAATTTGGTTAAGTTTATAGAAACTGCAAACCAAACGCTTCAGAGATAATTAGCTATTTTAAAAACATATCATTAGTCATTTTAAATGCCCTGCATTAAAAAACTTACAGAAAATTAGCTAAAACTTCTTCCTGTTTCTGTATTACCTAGTTGAGAATTTATATATAAGCTTGACTGAATGTTTTTGCTATACAGATTTTTGAAACTGGACTGAACATGAAAATAATTTAAATACAACAGATTCAAAACTGTCTTTAATTTATTAGCTAATTAAAAATAAATAATTGCAATTTATTAAAGGAAAAATACAAAAACTGATACAATTTATACGAAATATTAATGCTTATACAACATGAAAAAATATATAAGAACTTTTATACTCTTTCCAAAAGTTAAAAATGAAACTTAAAAAATAAATTAAATGAATACATAAATGAAAAAAGTAAAAGGTTTTTAAACCTAAATAGGATGTTTCCTTATTATACAGTCATCATTAAAATTCCTGAAAATCAACTACAAGATTTTCCAAACTGGGAGTCATCAAGAAATATTTAAAAAATTTTTTGCAAATGCTTATATCACAGAAGATATTAAGGAATTCAGATAGAAAAACGAATAATTCAGCAAAAATACAAAAAGGTTTTCTTGTGTATTTAATTTAAAAAAATCTGTCAAGTGTTTTACATGCAGCTTTGAGTTAAATATCAAGAATTTTCTGAATTACAGAAATTAAGTCATTATTAAACAATAATTCATGATTCGTTTACATTTAAAAAGTGGTCTTTTGTGGAAAATGGATTACATATTTGGTATTCTTGCAAAAGTCTTTTCACTTCCTTATAAAGTACTTGTGCAGCTTTGTACTCAGGGCTACATTTTGGATTAAACCATTCACAATTCTGAAGCACAAGATAAATGTCTCGCACAAAATCTTCATTATTTTTATAATTCATATAATTAAGTTTAGAGCGAATGGTTCCGAAGTCCATAGGGCGTTTTATTATGAGATGATAATCTGGAGCCTAAAAACAGAATTAAAAATAAAAAATGCTATTTAATGACAAAATACGATAAACATATTTTTATTACTCAATAAATATGCATAACAAATTAGAATAAAAAATAAAATTATAACAACAAGTTACAAAAAATTATATACATATAATGAATGAAAACACAATAATTTAAAACAAAATTCTTGTTTATAAAATGCATTTTCTTTAACACCACCAAAAAAGAATATTTTTATTTATCTAAAACAAATTTCATTTCTTAATACTCATAAGTAATTGCATTTCAACGTAGTTATGCTTATTTGCAAATTACTTGAAAATGTTTTTAAAATATTTATGCAGTAACTGTTATGCAACAATGCCTTGATCCTCTTTTACAAACACATCTGCATATACAGTCAAAAGTCGTTAATCCGGACTCGTCGGGACTTCGGCGATTCCGGATTATAGATCATCAGTTTAAATCTGGTAGGATGGCAAGCAGAAATTATACAATAAAAATATGAAACCGTAATTATGAAATAAAGAAACAATTATGATCCAAGGGTATCAAATTTACAAAGGGAAAAAGCTTAATATTTGTTTACTTTATTAAACATTTCTTTCAATGTAAGTGTTTAAGTTGCTTTGTTTCATGCGATAATACTTTTTCTCTTAATTCTATTAAACAGACATAATTTCTTGTTAGTTACAAAAGTTCCCGTGTTCAAGTCCTATAAGCTGGTCAAGAATACCGACTAATTTGTCAATCGAAAATTTTCCGTTTTCAATAACCTCTGGTCACTTTCTTCACTATCGGAAGCGAATTTATAACTTGTAAGCGACGCATGCGCAGAAAGTTTGTAGTTTTGAGGTCCGGATTATGGATGTCCGAATTAACGACTTTTGAGTGTACATCATTTGATGAAAAATTACCTATATATAACTGAAAATTTTAGTTACCTCCCCAACATTAAGTAAATTATTTCCCTATAAATTTTGCAAGCTAAATGTTTAAAATACTGATTTTCATTATTCTATTACCTATTCCTGTAACATGAGTACTTATTTCACAAGAATTTGCAATTTCTTTATGCATGGAAGTGTTAAGCCAACAGATGTCAATGCCATAGAATGTTTATTTCCATTAAAGATTCAGCTAGTTCCTGGGACACATTATTCCACTACTCCTCAATAACATGGATTAAGCCTAGATTATTTTATGGAAAATGACTACAAGCTACAATTTGTCTCTTAATATCCTTTACATACACAAAGATCCTGAGGTCTGCAAAATATTCAGCCCAGATGATTCAATTGATATTAGCTTTCCAGAAGATTATCCACTACTCTGATCAACTCACTTTTTTATCAATGATACCATGAAACAAGAAAAAATGGCATTTAATTACCCTTTTAAAATAGGATTTTCCCAGAATGATGTAATTGTCAAGTAAAGCTCAGCATGCCCTCAATTATAAGACTATCATCATCAACATAATATATTTACGATACTACATGAACTGGAAATTTAAAAGACTCTTGGTTGTTTTTTCTATTCTTGATAAACTGATAGCTAGAATCTAATTGCAAACTGAATAGATTCTCGTTGAAGAACATGACCCTGGCACACTACAGCACCATCTAATTTTGGTGAATTTGACACTATTGCAAATGATTTCCAAAGCACTTTCTGAAAAGTCTTCACGTCAAATTTATTTAGCAAATACAGCTAAATGTCTGCCCTTCTACATATTTTTAAACAGAAATCTTTTGTGAGCATCTGAAAGAAATTTCAATCTATAGAAACTGAAATTTATTCGTAGTTCAGAATTCCAGATTTTCTGCGACACCTGTGCACATAAAATCAAGATGATATCCAAGACATGATAAACTTTACTTTTGGTGATTTAATACCTCCTTTTCAGATTTTCTAAAACAGCTTACAATTTCTTTTTCACTAGGAGATACTGTGCAACACTTGACTGCACGAACAGGAAATCTGCACATATTTTAATAATGCAGATCACAAGCAGTCGATTTCCTTGATTCTGTGGCAACAGATTTGTTGAATGATGTTTATTAAGCATGGATATGTGTACAATTCCCAGACCCACAAACTTGTAAATTATAATAAATGGTTCAAAATCTCAATGCTAAATATATAAATATTCTTCAACAGTATGTTAATAATGCAACCTAGAACATACTACAGAATTCAACAAAGCACTAAAATGCAAACCACACCAGTATGCTTATAGAAGTTCTAGCCCATTTCTGCATTTAAGTCCTACAGCCAAACTCCTTATTAATTGTGAAAATCTTTGGTTAATTAAAAATCACAGTTAAAAACATGTATATTAAAAGTAATATAAAAAATTTTGTTATCAATTTACTTGGTTTCTGATGTAGTTTAATCTGAAGAATAAGTAAATTAAAGTTTTGTAAATTAAATCACTATTCAAAGTACTCCCTCTCACTGGATATGTATGGATATCTTCTTTTACACCAAATTCCACTAGTTTATTTTTATTTACATTATTCTTGTATTTTGGCCGGAGTGAAAAAGACCACTAATGGCTGTACACTTATTTAATTTTCAAGGTTGAGATATTTACGTTAATAGATGATCTAACGATGTAAATATTCTTGGATTACACGCAATTAAATTATGGAATATGGTGGATAAAAACTACTCTTAAATGCTATGACACCATATGCTATCCCTGCTGTTAAAACAACAGATTTTTCTTTTTGGTTTTGCATATTCAATAGAAAATTTTGTTTTATGTTGAAGAATTACAATAGTAATTTTTTATTATTCTGCAATAAAAATTTCTTTAGATGCTATGTACAACAGTTAATTTTTCATATCAAAAGTGCAATTCCAGAGGATAACAAAATATAAATCATGTAATGAGCTAATTGATGAAGTAAATGCACAAGAAACAAGAACAGCTGTGTTGTACATGTCAGCTGCTACAATTCATCTGCTTGAGTATAACCTTTCAGGTAAAATCATGCACTTGGCCAATATTCATTTTTTTTAATGCTACATATCAAAATTTCATACAAACCATTATTTCATGCAAATACTCACAAAAGATAAATCCACTTTTTCAAATTCTAAATTTTTATTTCATATCCTCACTTTTTTCCCTGCTATACAGCATTTCAGATTTCATGTCTCACAAATTTTTTTAATATACTTGTGATTTTCTGATTACTAGTTAAACAAGTTACCACACCAACACACATTTTATATGTGGTGGTGGTGGTAGGGGGGGAAAGAATCATAAATATTTTTAGGAGGATTTACCCTAAGTTAATAAATGTTTACTTTTTTGAAACAGTAATATAAAATGCACAAAATAAACTTGCTGTAATACAAATGCTTATAATGTTAAAGTTTATTAATTTGAATTACTTTTACATTTTTGATTTAGCATTTCATGCAATGCATAAATCTAGACTAAGAAATGATTTAAAAAACAAAAAAAGCACAAGGAATTAAGAGGAAATACAGTGGTACCTTGGTACATGTCTGCTTTAAAAATAGTCCATCTCGGGCACAAAATTTTTTGTTTGGTACATGATTTGAGTTTAACACGTCATGACTGCACACCTCTTTCAAGACGATGCTATGACTGCCCGTGAGTGTCAGTATGTTTGTTGCTACTACTTGGTAAACAATTCCTGTTCTCTGAATTTTCAAGCAATTTTGTGCTTTTTCACGTAAATGTTTTGCAAATTAATTAAAAATGGATTTTAGGAAAGCTAATGAGAAGAGATGAACAATGAAAAATATAGTTAGGCCTACCATAGATGCGAAAAAAGATTGTTGAAAAGTACCAAGATGTCATGCATATCTAGAATTGCATACCATATGCTGAGAACAATGGTTTATTACCAAATAAAAATCAGATGTTAAAACATGTTCAAAAATTCTTTTTGATCTGGATAGAGGGGAAATGTTTATGTGTCACGTACAGTGCTTCATTTATGTAAATTATATATATTACATACAGTGCATTTGTACTTTAGTATTAAACATTTTTATAACAATAAAAACTGGAAGTTTGCTTGGTATATATTCCAAAAATACAGATGACAGATACTAAAGTACCACAGTATTAGCAGAAACAAATTTAAACTTTTTGGCAAACTTTTCCATTCTCGAATACCACAATAAAAAATGCTAAGACTAGATCCCATTGTTCTACCCCAAACCATGCTATATTATAAAAGATTATGACCATGTTATAAATAGTCAAAGGTAGTAAATTATTATACTGAATTTCTATTAGTTTAAAGTTTCTTAAATGTTATTTATATGTAAAATTTTCAAAATATTCTTGCTGAAATCTGACAGAAGATTAGGGTACAGAAGGATACTTTAATGGAAAAACTACATGCATTGAAAAATTCCCCCTTTTCTTGCGGGAATGAGTATTGTTCTGAAACACACATGCAACTTAAAAGAAATTTGAATGCCAGTTTTAAAATTCTGCTGGCATGAGCTGATAAATATTTCTAACCCTGACCTATTTACTGACCATCTGTCACCATGTTTTGGCTATTTACTACAGTTGCCTGTAATTTAGGCAGTTTAACTACTTTTTGAAAAATATGTATGCAGAAAACTAGCACACGAGACCACACAACATAAATATGCTAGCACATGCGCACAGCACAGTCTTTTGGTAGATATGAAGAAACTTACATCTTTCTTGCTGACTGGGACTAAGAAAGGCCAGCTGGAAGGATGATGCATCAATTCAACTAGTAAATCTATACATGCTTTGTAATCCAGCATGTCACTTCCACTCCCACCTTTCGATCGCCTCCGAGCTGCATTTTGCGCTGAATCTGTGCCAATACAATACAAACAAGTTCTACAACTGATTTTTATATCGCAACTACAGACATATAACAGGATGATGATAGTCATGATGATGAAAGAGTTCAGATGAAGCTATACAGTGATGTGATTGCTAAAAGTACTTTCAGTTCAAACATGATTAGCAATGGGTCACAACAATGCTGCATAATTTTAAATACTAGCCGTTTATAGCAAAATTTAAGAAAATTAATAACTAAACTATCACTGGTAAACTAAATGAATGCTGAACTTAAACATATTTTTATTTGAAAAGTAAAATCTTAAAAGAGTGATAATTATGAAGAAAATCGTTATGAAAACAAATTTCTAATTTTAATAATTATTTTACTATGAATTGCAATCACAGAACTGTAAATACTAGCAAAATAAAATGTTTATTTTGGATATAGGGAAAATTCAAATTTCAGTCACATACCTAAGCAAACTGAAAACAAAATAAATCTGAATTTTTAATGTTAAATGCACATTATGTGAGATGTCAACAGGATATATAAATGATGATGATAAAAATACCAGTACATCGTAGAAAATGGGAGATTTTATTACGGCTACAAGCATGCAAAAGTTAATTAGTTTCGATACGTTTACACACACGTAACAAAACATGAGAAAATTTCAAAGTGTATATTTCATAAATAATTTTTTTGGGGAAGACCAAATTTTTATATGGAAAGCTGTGTTATGAAATGAAGAACATTATCATTTTCACATGATTTAATATATATAAAATGTTAGCCTCCTCCAAACTCTATTTTCTACAGATGTAAGCAATTTTTTTACACATGAAATATGTACTAAAACCACACATTCAGAATCACATGTCAAGCTGAGTCAAAGTTCAGTTTTTAAGGTGTTTGAATAATTAACATGCTTCTTTCCAGTAAGTTTCATAATCTTATAAATGTTGATTACTGACAAACATGATATTCCATAGAAACAGTAACTGGTTTTAAACTGACACATTTAACATCTTTCTTTTCTTTTTCTTCTTAAAGAAGTGTATGGAAGTTTTTTGACACAGTAAAATGTTGCTGACCCATCCTAGCAGTATCAGATATATTGTTTTTCTTTTCACAATGATGGCATAATTTTAGCATTTTGCACCCATTAATTATCTAAATGAAGAAAATTATTACTAATCATTTGTATTGGGGGGGATTGCTCTAATTATGCTAAATTTGGCTGGACACAATAAAAAAAAAGTCAGGATGACTTTTGCACTATTTTCAATTATCATCCAGAACTATGAAATTTTTCAAAAAAAAAAAAATTACCTTATGAATGAAACAAAACGTATATGAGTACTATTCTGTTTTGAGGACCGTAAAAAATTGCAGCGAAAATGTATGCGCAAAAGCGCCAAATCTAGCAAACGTGCCCATTTAACAGCACGCCACATCTAGTGTACATGCTCATTTCAGATTACATAAGTTTATACAGTAAAAAGTCTTTAATCTGGATTCGTCGGGACTTCGGCGATTCCGGATTATAGATCATCAATTTAAATCTGGTAAGATGGCATGCAGAAATTATAAAATTAAAAATATGAAACCGTAATTTATGAAAAAGAGCAATTATGATCTAACAGGTATCAAAATTTACAAAAAAAGGGTTAGTATTTATTTGTTGCTTTATTAAATATTTCTTTCAACGCGCGCATGCGTAAAGCATACATTACGGATAGTCGAAATTAGAAAATTGCAACCAGAAAACTATCTGATGTGTATTTGTGATATCTATAATGATGAGGAATTTGATTTAAATCCTAGCAAAGACAGAGTACATCAAGATGAAATACTACATTTAGTAAGGAATTATAAGCCGAATAAAATAAAAACATCTGCCCTGAAGATTAGTGCTGACAGATCCAGTTAATTGTGCGCTGCGACGTAACCACCATAAATTTCAAATAAAACATGTCTATTATGTGTGATTACTATGAAGATATTTTTCTGGAATCTTCTGAAATCGTAGGTTTTTAAATCTTGCTCCATACCTGCCAACCTCTAAAGATAAAAATTCAGAAGAACACGAAGAATTAATATCATGCTTTGATATTAAAAAAAAAAATAATAATAATAATAATTTATACAAATAGAAAAAAGAAAATTGTACTTACATTAGTAAATCTCAATTAAGTAGTAACTAAAAAATTTATTAGGAAACATAAAACAAGAACTTAATGTTACACAAAAAAATTATTGCAATGAATTTAGAGTGCATTTTTTGGCTTTAGCCAAAAATTCTTTGGAAAATTTCCTGTCATAACAATTAGTTTCCTCATAACATTTAGCAATTAAAATGTTTTCTAGAGTTTTTGGTTTTGGTGAAATTGAAGAACGAAACATAGTTTTGTTTTTCTTCACAACACTGAAGACTCTCTCGCACTCAGCATTACTGTGTGGAATTACGAGAATAGCACATAAAACTCTTGCTAGTCTATCATATTTTGGTGTTCCATCAGCTCTTTTTATTCTTTTTAAGGTACCAACGAGGACATCAAGTCTATCTTCTCCAGAACTGGCAAAGTCTTCAAACTGTGTAAACAATAACTGCCAAAATGACATCGGCATACGAATTCGTAGAAGCACTTCCGCAGAGAACCCGGTAAATGTAAACATCGCCAACTTTGGCGATAATAGTTCAACCTGGGAACCCAGCGGATTTATCCTATTCGCTTGTTCGAAGTTTGCAACCATTCCTCTTGCGTTCACTTTGTTGAATTATCACTGTCGTTGTTTGCATTTGCAGATTTATATTATTCTTCTCTTATTTATTAGAAATATTTTCAGATGCCGGTTTTCGGTTCCGGATGAAAATACGGCGGGAGGGGTAAATGCTAATTTGTAACACGGCTGTTTACGTTGTGTTCTTAATTATTAACAGCTGTAAGCATGCAGAACTATGAGGTTTTTAACTCCTAAAATAATTTGTTTTCGTAGGCCGCAAAAATATGCATATGCATTTTAAGTAATTAAGTAATGCTTTTATATTTATTATTGGTTATTGTCATCTAAAATTACGAGAATAAATCAATTTTTATGGCGTAAAATTTTAACAAGATAATGTCTTGTTAATGCTTTTCTAACAATAACCTTTCAGAGGATGGCAGGTGTGACATAAATAGATGATTAAATTGAAATAAAAAAATATGATTGATTATCTAAGATGACAGAATAGTTTGATGCATCACCATGGTCATCAGAATTAGCAAACCACTGCTGGTGTAAGGAATATATTGTTTTCCGTGTTAACTGGAATTTAAGACAGATTTTTTTTCGTTTTTATCACACGTTTTAAAAACAACCGGGTAATTTCAGTACAGTTAATACTAATTTATATTTTTTATTTCCATTATAAATGCTTATATATTGTCTTATGCTTAATATATTCTTTTCTGTGCTAACTTGAATTTAATACAAATTTATTTCCGTATATCACGTTTTTAACCGGTTAGTTTTTTACATCTACATGCATATTATCTGTGAATTTTTACTACCATATGCTTAATATATTGTTTTGTCTGCTAACTTGAATTTACATGCACTAAAAATCACATTTACAAAATAATAAATATCATGCTTACACGGCTCATGGTTGATGAACCGTGAGCTTGGCGAGTAAAAATGCAACGGGTTCTTTCCCGAAGCGCCAACAGGTTCTCTGCGGATGAAAACCCGAATTTGAAAAAAAAATCATCCACTTTCTTTGACGTTGTCAAAGCCGAAGCATTAACTTGCTAACATTAATGCTTTTTAGACTTAACAATGCTTCACAATGTCGCTTCTTCCACCGTGACTTATTATGAAGTCACACACGCACACGTTGCAAAATGCATAGTTATTTCTTTTGAAGGATTCTTTAATTGTTGGAAATTCGGCTTTGTAGGCAGGCCGGAAATATTGAGAATATGGTTTTTTTTGAACTCATTTCGTAACAACGACGTATTAAGAAAATTCGTAGCACGTGCAAACAAACAAACAAAAAACAAAAAACAAAAAATAAATAAATAAATAAAACAGCAATGCATGCTTGCTGAGTAATTTCCTTGCTGCGCTGCGAAAAAAATAATCTGGCGCCCACAAAGAAAAGAGTGGTGAGAAACAAGTTCAGCGCATTGGATTGGCTGGTTAAGCGGCGAGTTGGGAGAAACCGCAGGTTACTGGATTCGAAGTAGTCGGTAGTTGGCGGTAAAACACGATGCAATTGGCGAAAAATTCTAAAATTTCGACAAAAATCACTAAAAACACTTGAAAAAGGAAAAAAATCGTAAAAAATGGGTTACGATCGTAAAAACAAACGCATTTTCGTAAAAATTACGAAAAATTCGTAAAAGTTGGCAGGTATGTTGCTCTCAAAGCCTTCTAAACCTTCTAGGTGCAAGGTAATTTAAAAGAAAAACTATCCCTACCACTTCATAACAGCTAAAATCTAAATTCAAATATCTATAAAGTCATCAAAATGAAAAGCAATGGCATCTACATTGACAGGTGAAAATAAATGTCTTTTCTTCTGTTATTTCTTAAAATATAATTTTAATGATATTTATCAATGTTTTGGGGGGGGGGCAGAAAACAAAAAAATTTGCAGATCTTCAAATCAAAATTCTTAAAACAGCCAAATTTAGAGCAGCATAATAAAAGAAAAAACTCATATCCAAAAGAGGGTAAGTTGGTTTTGATGTAGTATTTTATGAACTCTTCATTTACAAAAATCAAATAATTTTTAATTTTTTTAAATTGAGACAGGACCTCATGCCCAGAAACTCAATTATCACACCATTTATATTAAGAAATCGGAAGCAATTCAAACGATAACCCATCAAGTACATATTTGCCAATGATTTTCAAAAAAATCATTCTTCCAAAATGTATAATCACACTTAAAATGGCAGTTGTCAAAAACAGAACAGATTAAATTAAGAACCTTTAGCTGATTTTCGTAAGGACTTTCAAGAACCAAAAATCATTTCCAAAAAATCTAGGCACTTTTAAATACTGTACGAACCCTGTTAGGAGTGTTAGAACCATCAGAGTGGTAACTATTTATTTCCATTTGATGTTGTCTCCATACATCTGTAGCAATAACTCTTCTGTTGACAGATTTAAATGGAGTGGCATATTGGCTGAAGAATCTGACACAGTTTGCAACAAATACCACAAAGTGGCTTTTCTTCTGCTCTTTTTGCAAAGCTAGTTAAATTAAATTAACTAATGAAAACTATATGTCCTTAAGGCACAGTATACATTATGATTAATGGTATCACAATAATACATCTCATTCACGCTGTTGTTCTGATAAATAATTTATTTTCATGGTGACCCACAACACCACCACTTTTTCAATTGACACTGCAGCATCTTACAGAGGGCATTTGTAATAAATCTGCCATTCTTGTATCAAAAATATAATTTTTATGCATTTTCAGACAAACAATTTTTCTCATCACACACACAAAGTTCATGCAATGTATTATTGTAATGTCATAGCAAATGAGAAGGACCATATCTACAATACATGTATAGAGCAGTATTGCCATGATTAAATTTATAATCTAGATATTTATTACCTAAAAACTATTAGCAAAATTACATAACTTTGGAAGTCCCATTCTATATATTTTAGTTTACAATCATACTGAAAGAGGGTGATCTCAAACTCAAATTGCATGTGGGGCAAATCATACTTTTATAACCTGGTGTTATGCATGTATGAAATGTGTTGTGTGTGCATTTATATGTTTGAAACTTAATTTTCCTTGAACATGGTTTAGTTGAAAATTCATTTCAACAATGTTAAACTATATTTTCTCTACTTTTTTTTTTAATACTTTTCTCCTTCCCTCCCTGGCTAAAGCTATGAAACGTTTGGTTTTAGTTAATTTTCCCCCATTTCATTTTGATACCCTATTATTTATTATATATTAAAATTTTCCCCCTTTCTGATATCTAAAGGTCAGTTGGTACCTGCAACAATTTTTTAAAAAAATATTTTATAATTCAAGCATACTGAATAACTAAATATTTAAACTTCAGACTGACATTTATTTCAAACAGATCTAATATGTTCCTTTACCATTAAATAAATTATAAATAAGTTAAAATAAACAACTTATGAAAAATTTTTTAATGGAACAAAACAATAACATATTATTGTCTTGCTTATATTTTAAAATTTTTTTGATGCATGCACCAAAAATAGATAGGTTTATATGTCATATAAAGTTCTTTATTTCTTACTACAACCTGACACTTACCACAAACACATGGCCTAGCATACACAAATATAGTGACAAAGATAAAACTTCAATGTATTTTTTCTCCGTTAACAGTGTCACTCATAAGCTCAGCTGATATCTCAATACATCTACAACTAAAAGAACTGCATTTTCAAAAAGTTCATAACTGAAATGTATTTGCCGGTTAAGTAAAACTGTGTTGGGGGCCTGCCAGTTTGAGACCTCTGCTCTAGGTAATAATAACATTTTAAAAGCATTTTCTCAGAATGAAATATAGTTTTAAAACATTTATGTTGATTAAAGAAAGACCCAATTTAAAAAGACTATATTACATCTACTAAAGATACAATCAAACTTTAGACTGTTTTATCATAACAACACACAAACTGACATTTTACAAGCTTTTTTAAAATGCACAATTAAAACTAATTTTTTACCTTTATACACTTTTTTGAATGGATTATCATCTTTTTCTGAATCTTCTGGGTGAGATTTCCGTTCTAAAAGAGATATTTTGTAAATATCAGATATACAGTAATGACTTGTAAGAGGAGAAAAATGTAAGATACGTGCAGATGAACCTGAATTATACAACACTAATGTATATAATTTAGTTTTGATAACAATTTTGCTTTTTAAATCTTTAATTTCCAGTAATAATAAAATGTATCCAATACCTTAAGCCATGGCAAAAATATAGAGTCTCCCACGAACAAACATACCTTTTCCAAAATAGCTACGGCCAATTAAAATTAATCAACAAAAATCAGAGATTACCATCAAAGGGTCACAACATTTTTTTTTATTTTTTTCACGGAGAAAAGCGCAACATTCCTTGCTAGAGATTTAAAAATTGCCTCCCTTTTGACACTAAGGATACAGCCCAAAACATTTCCCTTAATACACACAATAATTGTGTGATTGAGTCCACTACTTTTTGTAGCATAAAACTAATAATTGAAATCCTACTTTGTTTTAAAATGAAATACATTGCCCACTTTGATTCAATTCAAAATCATCTATAGGCATAGTAATATTTTCCAAAGCCTAAAAACATAGGCAAAAAATATTATGCATATTAAGAATAAAATCACATCTCACATTAAAAGTATTGTGAGGATTAAAATGGGAAAAAAATTAATCATTCACTCTTCACTGAACATGTATGTAACCCATCCTTACCTCTGTTCGATCTTCTACTAGGAAGCTCAAACTCTTCTTCAAAAGATTCTTCATATTTTCTCTTTGTGCCTTTAATAGATAAGAGAGATATAACTCTTGCTTAATAGTGCTAAATATTCACATTAAAAATTTAAAATATAAAATATGTAATACTCACCCTTTTTGCCAATTTTAGTTTTTAATGATTGGCCTTTCTTTGTTTCAGCAGTAAGTGTTGATGACCTAGTTCCATATGATCCAGTTGAAGCTAAAAATATTAATAATACATTACAGATTCATAAAAAAAATATGTATGAACATTTTATTCAAGCTTCATTTAAAGAATAAAATCTACAAAATAAAGAAGAAGTTTATTAACTTAAGAACAGTAAACACATAACACTTAACTTTTTTGATACCTGTTCTCTCATTTACCACTTATTTTCTACAAATGTGAATTCACACACAGAAAAAAAAAAATACACATAACACTTATATAAATACATTAAATATGATTATATTTCATGAAATTTAAACACTACAAACATAGCAACATGACTGCAGAATTTAAGTCAGCCACAATTTTTTATAAACAAAAATGCACATTTTTTCAGAATATGGTTTGCAGAGAAGAGTTTTGTATTATGTATTTAAAGTGTAATAATTTGGTTCAACCAGGAAAAAGCACATGCATGTAGTCCCTCCCTGAAACAGTTAAAACTGCAGAATCACTAAAGTATTGGAATATATTTGGCTCACCATTCTTGTGTTTAATACTGTACAAGAGAGTTATACCCCTAGATTTCTAACTTCTATTTTGAAAAAAAAAAAAAAAAAAAAAAAAAAAAAAAAAAAATGTTTTGTATTTGATGAAATGCAGCTATTATAACAATATGGTATCAGTTAATTTATTAGGAGTAACCCATCAATATGAAGAACTTTAATGTCATATCACATTACTGAACACAGTGGAATACAACTTGTACACATTAGTATAATGGAACATACATTTAAAACATAACTGCCAAAATTTTGGGTGCGATGCACTGTAACAAGTCAAGTATGCACCAATGCAGAACCTCTATAAAGAGTCCACTAATTTGGCTGGCTGTTGGTAAGCAGTTGCAATAGCACCTAGAACATCTTGTCTGGAGAGAGAAACGATGCCTTTCGTATGCACATCAGGAAGTACTGTGATTGCATAATGGATACGTCCTGTATCATACACTGTCATACAGTGTTCATGGCCACATTTTAGTTAAAAAAAAAGCACCTATAAGCACTTTTCAAGCACATTTTAAGAAAAAAAATAAGCACCTGTCAAATTACATTATACACAACTGCATAACCTTAAAAATTAGACTTGTAATTTAAAATATGAGAAATGCAGTATTTATTAAGAGAGAATAAGCATTACCTCAACCATGGAAAACAATTAACTTTTTTTTAAATTTTAAATGACAGTTCAATTTACAGAATTAGTTTACAATGAGAGGAAAAAAAAACTATGCAGAACTAAACTATATTACAAGATTTAATGATGAAATTTCAGTTCAAAATAAAGAAAATAAATAATAATAAGCCATATTAATTGTATTCGCTTGGCTCCTAATAATAAATACATTTTCCCACTCATATGAATATTTAAATAATTTAACTTAAATCAAAATCCTGAACATTTTCTAAATTTTCATTGCATATCAATTTTCCCTTAACATATATTCCAAGCAAAGTAATTTAAGTAAAAAAGAGGAACATTTCTGAAATCAGGAGACAGGAAATTGCTTCATGCAGTCATCCTTTAACAGTAAAAGCTTAACTAACCCGCATACTCGGAAATTGCCGAATATTCCGTATAGTCGAGCGTAACTGGAAAAAGAGGAGGGGAGGGGGGAGATTGTAGCCATTCTTTAGATTTCTCGGCTAAATAAATGATTTTGACATTTCGATATGTGCATCATATAAAAATAGACCAACGGAACTGAGAAATATTCTGCTTAGAAAGAACAGTAAAACTCTTTTAAGTGTTCATAAATAAATCTCAGACTCAACATCAAAATTAATTATCTCTGCAAAATATCGCAAACGTTATTGCGCAATATGTGCGGCGTAATTCTTCCATACGTGATATTACGCAATCGGAATTAACAGCTGCCGGTATTCGGAGAATAAAGAACTAAATAAAGGAAAAGAAAGAGACTTACCTAATCTGGGGTGTTTTTTGATTCTAATTTTGAACAGACTGCGTTAAATTTCCGGAATAGAATCATTCTTCGCTTGTTGGGTTGGTAGACCGCAAAAACTTTTAGTCCTATTCAATCCAGATTGGAACAGTGACAAACAAAAAAAAAAAAAAAAAAAAAAAAAAAAAAAAAAAAAAAAAAAACCTCCGTACTGTATAATGTATTGGGCAAAAAAAAAAAATTATTTGACTATTCGATTACTTTCCTTTTATTTAAGCCATTCCGAATATTATTCCTTAGAAAGCTAATCTGTGTAAAAATAAACCCCTTTTTTGGAAGTTTATCTACACTTCAGCAGCTACTGCAACTATATTATTATAAATATTCATACATATGCTCATAATATAAGCATAACGATCATAATAAACACGAATATGAACTGACCACGCGGAACGAGAATGTAAATTATTAAAAATCTTGTTAGAAATTCAAATGTGTGTAGTATTTGGATGGGAGGAAAAAAAATACCGAATGCACCAGAATTTTCTACGGTTTTCGCATTTCGACCAATAGAACGACGTGCACCTGTCTGTACACTTGCGCGCACCATAGGTTACGTTAATGCAGAGAAAGGGGGAAAAGCTATTTCCCGGAGTATGATTCACCATCTGACGTTCCATATAAGGAAGAAAAGTTGTTTATTTAGTTTCGGCTTTGGTACGGGGGGAAATATGCGCATTCATTGAAAAAAGCACTAAAAGCAAAAAATAAGCACTAAACAAAAAAATACGGGCTTTAAAGAAAAAGCAAGCACCTATAAGGGCCTTTATACTTTATTTTCAAATATAAGGACTTATAAGCACTTGTAAGGACCGCTACGAACCCTGGTCATAGCTTTCATTTGTAACTAATACACATTGCTGGCATTTTTAATAGCCATCATCATTACATCTAATATGTTAGGGTTAACCACTATTCCTTCTTTTCCACAAAAATAATGCATCATCAGTTAGCAACAAATTTAACTTCTGTCATGATCTTTTGAAGAAAGAATTTCAGAACTTTCTTGATCTGTCATTAGCAGAAAATGATACAACTCAAAGAGACTGAAACATTTAGCAGCTATCTTAATAAACTTAAACTGAATATAGCTTGAAATATATGACTGGATGGTAAACCCTTTTGCTTTGAATTTCCCTCAGGTAGATCAAACACGCCCAAAGCTTGTAATTAGCGCATAGCAGAGCTATATAGGAAGAGGTTTTTCATAGAGGACTTTCTAATGGAAACTGGCCCACAACCTTGTTATGCTTTGCCAAAATTAAAAATATGTTCATTAAAAAACATTGTATTCAAGAAGATACAAATTCATTAAGCTTAATTACGTACCTCATCTTCAAAATAATTTTGAATTGATACTAAACTGAGTTATTGCAGTTTTACTGGCTAGTAAAGAAATTTCACCAATAATGCTAAAATGGATGGTAGGTGTTAAAATGATAAATCTTGTTCTAATACAAAGATCTTCAAAATGCACACAAATCATATCTTCCTCTAATGTCCAAGAGGGCTCACAATAATATGCCTTGTATTATTTATAAATACTTTTCCCATATTGCACTATTATGCATTACTAAGTATTGTGCTATTTTGTTTATTTCTTTGCACTGCAATGTAATCCACTAATATAATATAAAGGAAAAATTACTCAAGAGGTTTTATGATTTTCAGTAACAAAATCACTACCAGAGTTTAAGAACCCTTCTTCTAATGCACACATAATCAAAAACTATTAAACTTTCACATGCAAAAGTATCAGACAAAATTTTTAACTAGCAATAATGTGCATGCTAGCTCAATATTTAGTTCATTTTGCAGTTTCTACCTTTTAGCAGAAATATGGCTGCATATTTATTAGCCTAGCTTTTTTACCTACTGAGCTAAAGTAAATATGAGTGACAACTACTGTGTTGGAGATTTATTAGAAAAATTAAATCTAAATATAATACTTGTAACTTATTTCTTTAAATCCATAATGCAATAAATATAATATCCAATATTATGTGCATTGTTGATTGATTAATTTTTTCTTTAATCCTCCTATATATATATATAGCACACAATTCTTGGTATTCATAACTGACAATTTGGGGGGGGGAAGGTTTGCAATAGGCAAGGTGGTGTGTTTGGTGTATTTAATTATGGCAAAGCACACTAGGGCTATCTGCCTAAGAGGAGGGATGCCTTCGTGGAGGACTTTCTAAGGGAAACTGGCTCGTATACACGTTACACATGGGGAAGGTGAACCACGAAAACGCCCATGCAGCCAGCCGTTGGGGATCGAACCTCAGACCGAACTACCAGTGTTCAGCGACTTTACCGCTCGGCCGCTGGTGGGCCATTTGCAATAGGCAAGTAAACACAGTATTTTTAAGTGCAACTTGCAGGAAACAGCATAATTAGCTCACTGCATGTAAAATAGTTATTAAAAATCAAAATTACTTACGATGTTTTTGAGCCTTTTTAATAGCCTCTTCCTTTTTACTACATTTAGGGCATAACCATTCACCTCGGGGAATTCTTTTTAGATTTACACATTCCTGGTGATACATCAGAGGACATTTATCACAACAAAGCAGAGTGCCCACATCTCCACAAGCTTCACAGGATTCCTGAACAAATGTAGTTTCGGATATATTCTTATCATCACCAGACTCATCTTCTTCCTCATCCTCCTCCTCCTCCTCTTCTTCTTCAGCGCTGATATGAATGTCAGTTATTAATGACTCAGTAAAAGAATACTATAGACACTGAAGCACGCAGCAAAACTTTTCCAAAATATATTTAATTAAAAGTTATTAATATGCAAGACTGCTAATTGAAAGGATCACAACAAAACAGTTAAAAAAATACAAAATTTTATACATCAGATATTTCAAAATCAAAAATATATACAGTGCCAGGGAAAGAACTGATGAAAAAAATACTGCATATACTCAAAATTAATAGGTTTATCATAGTGTGGTTCACATAGCTGGAAAGAAGAATTCAAAAGTTTCAGTACTCTTCTCTGTACGTAGTATTTGAAGTCTGCCTACGCTCTCATTCTACATGTTCGAAAGCAACAGTGGTATGACTTAGTCCAATCGTTTTCATAATTGAGGTACATAAATATTAAGATCTGTTTCATAGCAGCTACCTTTTTGACAGGATTGAGGGGAAAAAAAGGGGGATATTCTGTCTAACTCACAATGCGATCAACAAACTGATTTTAAACATGTATGCAATTCTTTGTATTTTCTTTCCCAGACACCCTGTGTTTCAAGCCTTTAAGAGTATGGCAAATTATTTTTTATAATTATTAAAAGCAGAAATAAACTTTTAGTAAATGATACAAATATTATATATTTACAAATAAAATACATTCTTTCCTTTACTAACTTCTGGAATAATTTCACGAAAATTTGTTTAAGATAAAATTTGTACAATAGGTGAAAGCTTTATGATAAATTCAATCAAATTTATTCAAATACGAAACATATAGATATGCATATTTAACTTAAAACACATGCAGGATCTAGAACATGTAACTGCCTTGTGATTCTCACTGCATCAAAACTAAGAGCAAAATTGATTTGCTTTTAGCTAACTATCCTATTTATCAGAACATATCATGCAGAAAACTTGTTTTCTACTTAGTATCATAACAGAAAACTTAATAGCTGAAATCCATTCACATTTTATTATCCACATTATAAAAGAAATAATTACCAGACTTTACATTTACAAAGGTCTAAAGCCAGAAGACAACATATAATTAACTATTTATCCATTTCAACAATATGTACACATTTTTCTTTGTATGTTTATATCAGCTACTGTTCCTCCCCCTCCAAAAAAAAACACTTTTACTGTTGCCATTTACCATTTTCTGATTTCTGTGTTGCAATGGCTACTTTTAACTGTCTGCCTATTAATTACAGAACTTTATTACCTCCACTACCACTTTCACAATATATTAAATTCTCTCTAGGAAAACTAACTATTTACAGTTCCTGAAGACTTTTGTGGAAAGAAACTTCTTAAAATATTGCCACTTTGCAAAGAGTTATATTCAGGGCTGTGGAGCCGGACAGATTTTGGTTATTTAAAGGTTAGAAGGAGTCGGAGCTGGAGTCGCTAAAACAGGTCGATTCAGACTCCAATTTTTGTTGGACAGTTTGGATTTAAAATGACATTAAAATGAATTGGGAAGAAATTAATGATAAGCTGAGTTATTTTTATTTATGGAATATATACATTAATAATAATTACTTTCTACTTTATTGACATATTAATAAATAAATATAAGGGGAGAGGGTGGATGTGATATTTGCCATTAGTGATTAAATTGAGTCATTTAGTTACAAATCTCGCTGGTAAATTTAGGTAAGCTGCAATAACTCTCAAAATTGATGGCATTCTTAGGAAGAGAGCAGGAAAAGAAGCAATTATTGATCAAGCAATGTGAAAAAGAATTACATATTTGATGATAAAGAGGTTGTTAGAATTAAGAATTTTTTTAGAAGATGTAGTAACCTAAGTTCACTAACAGAAGATGTGGATGTATTGCAGAATTAGAGACGCTTTTACCCGTATATACCACACCAACGCAACTGAAGAATCGACGGGGCTAAATGGAAGATGTGATGTTAGTTATTTCTGAATGAGGTTTAGTGCCAAAGAAATTTTCAGAACAAAGAAACTGTTTGTAGACAATGAGATCTGCTTGGTTCAATATAGTAGATCCGAAACACCAATTTTCTTGGATAAGAAACAAATAAAAGGGCAAAGAAACATCTTAACTTTCATTAAGAATGAATTATTCTCAGAACATGGAGAATTTTGAATCAGACAGTCAAACTGCGACATTGCAACTGAGTCTCTATCATCCCAAAGATGTTTAGATTTTGAGAATATTTTGGATAATATCAAAGGCTATCGCAAAGCAAATGAAAAAAAGAACCAGGAGTTTTAGATATAAAAATGAAAAAATACAAAAAAGATTTTACACAGCATTGAAGAAACAGAGAAAAATGGTTGTGCAAGACACCTACCTTTTAGAACTTATAAAAATCTATCCTGAAAAGTAAAAGAAATAAGTAGCCTAACAGTTAACTTTCCTCCTACTCAAGTTAATGTGAAAGACTCTTCTCAGCCCTGGAGTTTATAAATCGATCTATGGTCTCCAACAAAGAAGTCTTGCCGAAGCTATACTGTTTCTTAGAAATAACTAATGCCAGTTTTTCCATTTCATAATAAATGCTAATTAATATAAATAATTTGCTATTGCATCATTTTTTTCTGTAACATCTATTACTTCTTTTATATTAAAAAATTAAGCTGTAACCCATGTGTATATGTTTACACACAATATGAGGGAGTCGGAGTCAAATCTTTAAAATTCCAAGAGTCGGAATCAGTCATTTTCCCTACCTGCCCTGGTTATATTTTAAATTTAGCAGAAAATTCCATGATTTAAAAGAAATGTGCTGCTACTCAGCAAAGTTCAGATACTTTTCTTTCAAATTTAACCAATAAACTCAGTGATTTAAAAGAAACTGTTGCCACTGCCCTCAACAAAATATAGTTATCTCCCATGAAGTGTGCTGTCATTCAACAAAGCATAAGATATTTAATTTTTCTTCCAAATTTAATCTGTTTGCTATTGATTAGTTAACCTAAGTTATTTAAATGCAATAACATAGTTCATCTCTATTATTTTTAGTTAGTACTGTAAAATTGCACTAGCTACTCATTAAAATCATAATATATTTTTTTTCACTTTAGTAACTATTTTAGATGGCTGGCAGTGCAAGCAGCTTATCTTAGATGAGTGGTCTGAACTAAAGTTCATTTAATAAACACATGTATTAAGTAGATATACCTTCAAACACTTTCTACACAAAAATTATGCCAGCCCAATGTCGCTTTCAGTAAAGAAAGAATCTTAGGGAGTAACAGCCCTAACGGGCCAATGCCTGCAGTGCCCTGAAATCTGCTTTCTTGACCGTAGGCCCCAGGGTGCGTAAGCATATGCCCTGAACAAGTGGTCAGCTTGTCACAGGACCCCCAGTATTTAGTCCCCAAGTGAACTTGGTACTCATTTTATCAACCCAAAGGATAAAACGCTGAGTCGACCTTGCCCAGCTCGAGGATCGAACCTCGGACCTGCGGTGCTGTTGCGCGATGCGCTAGCCACAGCGCCATTGAGCCTCAAAACCTGGAATATAAAACACTGAAAAACTTTTTGCATACCTTTCTTCTTCAGATTCATTTTCAGAAGAATCAATATCGCTATCACTTTCAGCTCGTTTTGGTTTTTTCTGTGGACTTGCAGGTTTTTCGATAGGTCTACAGCTTAAACAAAACCAGTCACCTTCAGGAATGCACTGGATAAGGATAAAATTAAATTAACATTAAGAGAAGGTAAAAAGACATAACTTATACACTAAGAATTAAGTTTTTCAGAACTATAAAATTTTTATAAACCTTTAGAGGAGGTTTCAGGCAATATAAATGATGTCCTCGATTGCAACCATCACATAACAACATATTTTCTCCATCACCTCTTCGTCTACAAATTCGGCAGTGAGCTTTTAAACCTGAACGTGACCATGCTACACTTCGCTCCAGAGTTCCAAGATGCACGAATAACTGAGACGTACTGGTACATTGAAGCAATGATTCTTGCCATTTCTCCAAAGCAGAAACTAGAAATAATTTTTCATTAAAAAAAAATCTAAATGAAACATTTCCAAGAATGCATCATATTACAATTGAAAAAATATAAACAATATATGGTATAAAAGTTTTAAGTATTAAATACAATAAAAATTAGATAGAGATAAGCACTTATTTTAAATATTAGTTAATTTGATTTTAAAAAAGTTAGCAGTTTCTTTACAAAAATATGCAATCTTTTGTTTATTACTTGATCATTAAATTTAAATTATTAGTTGGGCCACATATACAATTTTTAATATGAGGAATGCATACCTTTTTTCTTCTGTGAATCAACTTCTTCGGGATTCTTCAGTTTTGCTTTTTTATATTCATCACTTTCACCTATACAATAGCAATGAAATTAAGATTTATCATAAAAATTTTCTCATAACTTTATTCAGAAAAATGTTAAAAAAATCTTATGTTAGATTAAATATATGCAAAAAAGATATTCATAATTATCTAATGAACAGTGATTAACAGTTAAAAAAATAAGATGAAGTAATAACTTTATATATAAGGAAACTTAAATATACCAGATAAGTTCTTGAAAGAGAATTTTATTAGACAATGTAATAAATAAATAAAAATAACAAAATCAGTGATATTTAAAAGAAATATATCAAACAATCTACAAAAAGATCTTTTAGCTCAATTCAAGAAGATACAAAGTTAAAAAGCTTGCAGCACATTAGTAAAATTCATTCACATTTATCATTTTTGAATTTAAACACTCAAATCAGTTTTACATGATATTAAAAAATGAAAAATCACAAAGAATGTAAAATAATTATTTTACTTCCTAAGCACATAATACAGGCTCTTTCAGCCCGAAGGAGGAGTAACATTGCTGTGCCTCGGCTCATGGCAGATCGTTTAGTAGTAACAGGAACAAGAATTTCAGTTACTACAGTGTGCAGACACCTGTACCATACAGGCCTGTATGCAAGACGACCAGTTGTTTGTGTTCTCTTGACCCGAGAACACAGAGGTGCCCGTTTATGCTAGGCAAGAGAACACGTCTTCTGGATCAGTCAACAATGGACATCTCTAATCTTCAAAGATGAGTCCATGTTCACATTGGAGAGTGATTCAGGTCGTCAACTGATCTGGAGGGAAAAATCGCAACAGATACAACATATCCCATATTGTGGAAAGACATAAGTTCTAATAATGGTTTGGGCTGGGATCTCTCTCAATGGTCTCAATGACCTACATGTGTTCCCTGGAGTAACTTTGACTGGTGTGGGATAGTTACAGAAGTACGAGATCTTTGATCAATATATCCACACATATGCCACTGGTATTGGTCCTAGATTTCTTCTGATGGAGGACAATGCACGACCACACCGAGCTCAGGTCGCTGAAGAACATCTTAAGGGTCACGGTATGCACCGGATGAAATGGCCAGCTCAATCCTCAGACCTGAATCCAATACAGCAGCTTTGGAACTACCTTGGGAGACAGGCTGCTGCTTAGTCGTTAGAACTTGAACAAGGATTACTTCGTGTCTGGTCGTTATTTCCCATTCCACTGACCGACAACTTAATTGACAGCACAGAATGCCGTTGCCGCCAATGTATTGCAGCTAGAATTGGACACATTCCTTATTAGAACCCAGAACAATTTTTGTAACGCTACCACCCCATTATTTGTCAAAACACTGTGATATACTGTTTCTCCAAGACTGAATTTAATTCATGTTTGTGTTGAACTTTAGAAACATTCTATGTCACATTCATTAAAGAACTGTTTAGTGAACATGTTCTATAAATTTCATGTTTCTATGCTGCTCCATTCTCAAATTAGACACAAAAAACAAGCTGTTTCTTAACTTTTGGAAGGCAGCGTATACATGAACACATAAATCCATTTCTGAGTATGGTCCTGACAACAGAACAGTACCAAAAATTCACTGAAGACATAAGCACAGTCACTAATAAAAGTGCACTTTGAGGCAAAGTCACTTGGTAACTAATTTTCTTTTCCAGAATATCCTCGCTAGCATACCTCTGCAATTGGGCAGCTTGATACTTGAACAGGCGACTATTCTCTTCGAAAATAGTTCACTTAATATTTTTTAAAGAGTACTTAAAGCATGCATACTTTTCGAATATGAAAAATTATTTATTTTGAACTTAATTCTGATAAATACCTGATTCATTAGTTTAAAAGTTCATAATGTGACAATCTCATTTCAGACAGACTTAAAAGGAAATTATAGGCATTTGAAGCACAATGAACTGCAGATTAACCAGTTTGTTTTTAAAAAGTAATGTTTGTTTATTGCAGTGATGGGAAAATTACTATTACAAACTTTGAGAATAAAACAAAATTTCCACAAGAACACAAAAAGGAAAAAAGTGTGGAATAACAGCAATGAAAGCAAATTATGTCAGTATTTAGGAATTGTTTTTATACACAATAAAGCAATTCTAGTTAAGCTGTACATTATTTGGAATATATAAACAGTGTTGAATTGCTAAATCCTAAAATTTCTGTTTCATACAAATTGAAACAGCAGCAAAGTTCGCTTTTATGAAAACCTTGTGCAGTCCATAAAACTGAGCTTGAAGGAAATTCTGATGAAAGTTCTATCCAACTATGATGAACTAGAAACTACCATTATTGAGATCGAAGCAATCTGTAACTTGCATATGTGTATACTGAGATTGAAGACACAAATCCACAGATTTCAGCACATTTCCTCATATGACAAAGATTAATAATAAATCTGGTCTTCACATAACGGGAATTCATTAAGAGATACAAATGTCATATCAATCTGATACAGAATTTTAATAAGAGTAATTGCTTGATGTAGGAACCACTTATCAAATACTTCATCGCATCTCCTGAAAAATTCAGTTATCATGCACAAGAACAAACTTCCAAGATATGAAAATAGGGTTGTAAGTGAATATCATCCTGATTAAGATGGAAAAATATGTGCGTTCACCTTTCATTTGGTTAATGAAAACAAAATATAGCACCCGGTATAGTGAACGGCAACAACACTGACAACTCCAATACTTGATAAACGATTAACAGTTCATCACAGAGGGGTTTGCGAACCAAAACAATAGGGCTTAGCGGTGCTATAAATATGAAATGCCTGGATTGTTTTGCTTTGATTTAGAAAATAATATAGTTTAGATAAAGATGGTAGTGCTTTAAGCTGCTTAATTGATTGATATTTATATTTCTGTAAGCATATTGTGTTAAATAATACTATGAAGTTAAATGACTTCTAGAAATAATTAAGTGATGTCAAAGTATTCAGGAACTGTTTTTATCCACAACAGAATTTATCTGTACACATATATGTTGTTCAATGATTCATTAAAAACTAATGGCAAAATCATATAATAAATTTAGTGTACAACCCAAATTCTGTTTTGCATTCACTTCTATCTCAATACATAACAAATATCAATCCGAAACATTATTTTTTATGTTTTGAAGCACACTGTTCTTATTTAGAACATTTATATAATCAAATGAAATCATCCTCCAACTGAAACTTCTTGAAAATACAAGGCAAAATGTTAAACTCATCTTCTGTTATTTATAAACAATTTCTGCCCCCCCCACCTTATTAAAGTTCTTTACTAAGAAATTTTTTTTAATCAATGAGAATAGAACAAAACATTTTTTAATCTGTTCACTGTAACCTAACCCCTTTCTTTAATTTTTGATCTGAGCAAAATATTTTCAATTCAAGCAAACAAGAAAGGATGAATAGCTTTTTACGAGCTTGAGGTCACACCGGTAATTTGTTGTTTAGGAAATTAAAGCTTTTTCATTTATCAGTTTGTTTTGTTCTAGAATCTAAAAAACACTCCAAGTTCTATCTTCTGAAAGGAGGGTTTTTTGCATTTTTAAGATCTACAAGATTTAGAATATTCTTAATAAGGGCTTGTATAGCTTTGTTTAGACATACATTAATCTGCGAATGCATTCTCAAAGGATACTAAACATGGATCAGTGATAAAATTATCTTTCCCCCCCATAGATAAAATTTTACATATTTTTATCTGTCTTAACTACATTGGCAAAATTTTTATGCCAAAAATTTACATATTATGGCGAGCTATAAACAAAAGCATTTTATGCTGAAGATTAGTGAGCATTATTTGCAAAATACATAGTGGACATAGCTAAATCGCAAGTTTATTGAAATTTAAAATTGTCTTGTAAATCTGCATCTTCATTTGAGAGTTGCTAATTCTTACCACATAAAGTTGAAGTGCAATATTAATACTGTAGATGAATATTGGTTATAAATTTGAACAAAGCCATATTACATATATAAAAAGTCACACACACAGCCCATGTTCCACTGGCCTAAGGAGTTAAATTCTGTAAAAAACTAGAGGTTGTACATAAAATTAAAAAAAAAAAATTAAATAATTATTTAAAATAAATATGCATACTTGAGATAAATGCATATGAAAAACTTTGTGATGCAGCAGTTACTGTAAAGACAGCCAGTTCCTCCCCACCCCCAAAAAACTTTTATCCAAGAACTCAAAACTGCTTCACATACCAAAAGAAACCAAAGAGATGTTTAAATAACCTTTACCCTTGCATAATATACAATGTATATAAATCTCTTAACCTGGTGCTATTTTAGAATACTAGCTTATGACAAATCTATGCAAACTCAGCATTTTGCAACACTTTAACACCTATTTCAGTTCAGTGTTTAACTTAAAATTGACACAGTTTTGGACTTTCCATACCGCATTACAGAAAAACATTCTTTTGCTCAAAAAGGTGAAATAATTAAAATGCTGTAGATTATTTGAAATAAAGACTAAAAAAAGCAATAGATTTCGAAACAATTCCACATAACTTTTTATACAGCCAAGGCTGAAAAACTATACTTTGGCTTATTAACAACTTGCAAATAATAGAAGGAATTAAATATTATATCAACTGCTACGACTTTGAAAATCTCTACATATCTCTTCTGCTAAAAGAAATCTATAAAAATATAGAACTTCCAATTCCCTCCCCCCTGAAATGCTTACTATACTGCTTTTACAAAAATGGAAATAATATGTCTATTTCTCACATTTAATAACTTTCTCGAGTATGCAAATACATTTTACTTGCAAACAAATGGTATTCCAAAGTTAATAAAGGTTACTTGACACACTCATGTAACCTTTATTAACTTTCTAAAAACAATCTTACTGAAATAGACAACATCTACCTCAACTGTTTAAAACTACACAAGACCAGTTTTGCAAATACAATTATTAGCCAAACTGCTAGAATTAAAAAGTATGCACCGAAATTGAACAGCAACAGCAAGAGATTCTTCGTCAAAAATAAAATTCGAATTAAGTTCATTAACAGTCAACTTGAAAAAGTTGGACTGGTAATGAATTTTTTATCAGAAAGCTCAAATAAGAGAAGGATAAAGAAAGAAGAATTAAAAGGGTTTACAGCATAATTATGTTCAATTTTTTCTCGATTTATTTTTATTAATTGAGAACCTACTACAATCTAAGTCGTCATGAAGACTATGGCACAAAAATTTTATTCTTTTCTAATATTTGCTCTTTATTTCCTTTTCTTACTTTCATTACTTTAATGCTTTCCAATTTTCATTACATTTAAAAAAAAAAAAAAAAAAAAATTGTGAATTCACCTTTTGGGAGATATCAAACATTATCCCCAATAGCACAAAACAGGCAACACCAAGCGTCTCTTTTCACCCATTTTGAATTTCATTCTTTCTTTTTCCAGCAATGATAAGTTACCACCTTTCCTTACTTCGATTTTTATTCTTTTGTTATTATTTCATATGAAAGGAAGTCAACTGTGTAGAGGAGACATTCGGAATTTTGAAATGGTCCAATAACTACTTCTGAATGAATAGAAAAGTGGTTTTCTTAAGAAGTGGAACTTGATTCAGATCTGAACTACCTCCTCTTGATAACGTTGAATCATATTTTGACTGTACCCCTTTCTTTATGTATTTCTATTATGTTCAGGATTTTGTCTGCTTAAAAAAAAAAACAGAGCTAAAAGGGTTTTTTTACATTTTTTATTGGTGGATTTTGGGATAACACAGATTTTAAATTCATTTCTTTCATGTCTCTGTGAAATTGTTTTGAAATCTAGACTAAAAAGTCTATAATTAATTTTTCAGCAGCATTTTGCATGAAAATGATTTTGGATATTTTTGTCATAAACAAATTTCTATATTTAACATCGCCATTTTTACTTAAAGCAAAAAATTAATAAAAAAATAAAGAGCACCTGCATATATAGTAAACTCATCTCTGATACAGCATGTTTTTAAATTTTATGGAATTGCTTGAAAATAGTTTATGGTTTCAATAGCTAACATTTCTCAGCAATAGAGAATGATACCAAATGGAATACTGATTAACGTAAGCAAAAATAAATAAATAAATAAATAAAACTGGTACATGTTTTACCTAAAGGTGGATGCAAATATTTTGGTTCAATGCCCTGTGATAATTGACGCATAGCTTTCGCGAGCATCTTTATTTCTTGTTCTTCAGACAACTGTGAACTTGATTTTGAAAAATTCATTTCAATTTCTTCTTTTATATGACTGAAATACAGGAAAACAAATTACAACAATCATATGCAACAGCTGCCATTTCAAACTACATACATACTTTTGCTTTTAAATTACAATAAAATTAAACTACATATCAAATGAATAACTGCAGAATTCACCATTTTAGAGACTGAAATAATTATATGTTTGTTGAAAAGGGAAATTAAATTACAAATAATGAAATTAAAATTAAATTAGAAAAATTTATATAATTTTAAATTCAGACTAAGTTTATACTATTACATTTAAAAAAAATTGTGGATCCTTTCATTCCCTGTGTACAAGATCTATGCATATTTAATTACAGTCAATTTTATCATGGTGCTTCTTCCACCCCCAAAAAAAGTGTATAATAGCTTGTAAAAGTACTGTACTGCATATTTGCAAAGCTGTGGTTTATTTTAATGAATAAATATATATTACACAAATTTTTGAATTTTTATTACATTTAATAAAAATAGGAAATATTTCTAATGATTCAGCCATACCTACACAATGAATAAACTTTTTTTGATTTTTTAGATGCTATCCATAATGTTATTATTTTAAATTCAAATTTAATGGTCATAAGCAAATTTTGTTTTTCATAATCAAACTTTCCAAAATTATTTTGCAAAAAACTTCAACAATTAAATTTTTTAATGCATCACTAGATATAGAAGCAGAATTATATAAAACCTGATTATGACCCACTGGTTTAAAATCAAATATAATCTCACCGAACAATAATTAATAGATTACTCACATTTCTCCTCCAAGTTTGGTAGAATCTATATCTAAATCTTTGTCAAGTGCCGCTCTCCAGCTCTCCCGGTCAGGAACCTATAATGAGAAATTGACTTTAAATATGTGTTGCAAATCTACTTCCGATATAATTTCAGCACAATACCAAAAAACCTACACCTCCTACATCAAATCTCCTTAGAAATAAACAATGAAAATCCTACTTGAAAAATACACATCCACACAAAAAATATAAAGAGTGAAAATATTTTATCTCACCTGATGATTTTTAATTTTAAAAATGCCAAAACATGAATATTTGTGTAATTTAAAAGTGTTTTTGGTTATTGGAAGTATATGCATATCACCAACTATTGCAAAAATAAAGGGACCAAAATGTCTTTTATTAACATGGTGTATAAACATCATGTTTTGATAATTATCTTTCAGTTTTAAATCAAATGAATAAAAATTAATTTAAAGATAAAATGATGAACATCACCTAGCAAGGAATAACTAAGAAAGTAAATGTATTATAATTTTTTATGGGTTTAAAAAAAATCTTTATACATGATATACACAAAAGAGATATTTTTTTAATTTTTAGGATTTTTTCTAATGTAAAGAAAAATATTTCTGAAGGTTTTATTTTAGCAAGCAGAAACAAAACTGAATGTCACATTCTTAACTTTTCGAATTTACAGATAAGTAAACAAATCAAGAATTATACACTGAATCCATAATTTCACATTAAAGAATACTTCATATGCCAGAAAAAGGAAAATAAATTAATATTTACCACTAATAATTATTGTTCTTTTAAGCATGCATTCCATTCTCCTGTTAGCTGGAATTATCAAAACTGTTTGAATCATCTGCAGGAACCAGTTGGCTCCAATACAATTCACAGCGCAATATTTCAGTTTTTGATTACCAAAGGCTTATTTCAACAATACAAAATTTTCATGCAGCACGCAGACAGGAAAACTGCCATTCCAAAATAAAATTTGAAGTTTCAAAATATTAATGAGAAACTTAATAAAAAAGTTATTTAAATTTTGCCTTCTCAAAAAAGTTGTACAAATATTTTGTAAATAAAAAATTCAGTATAATGCTATTCATAATTTGATTCAGGGTATTGGGGAAGGGGGGAAAAAAAAAAAAAAAAAAAGCTTGCATTATCATTTGCATGCCATACAGTTTACTGTTTTTAACCTCTTTGTGACAGCATGCTGCCATTTTGCTAGTCGAAGCTAAATCATACCACTAAAAGTTTCAACCAAGCTTAGGTCAAATTGTGTAATCTTCGGCTATGAATCCCTTTTAGATTTGGAAATTCAATTTTTTGTTTCAGAATTCTTTCTGGGAAAAAGCTTAAATGTTATCAAGGCCTGGCAATGCCTAGATGGATGCACAGCTAGGCTTCTTTCAATTTGTACCTGTTACTGCAAGCAGTATTTTTATTCTGTATGTGAAAGTTGTGCCTTCGCTAAGTTTTAATAAAAGGCCTATTTAAAACTTTTGACACAGTGATTATTACTCCTGCGTCAGTCTAAATAAGGTCTAGAGAACTTTTAACTTAGTACTACACAAATTAGGATATTATAACTTTTACACCGGGAAAAGCTTCCATTTTATTAAAGTACCTTTCAAGGAGCTTAATTGCTATCACAAGTCACCTTAGTAGAACTCATTAAATTTTCATAATGTGCCAAACTCTGGCAGTCAGTCACATAACAATTTGTTAAGCAACCATCCTCATTATAATCCTTCAGTCAAGCAACAGCCTATTTTTGCATGTGTTCTTTTTGTTGTTATCCATTAACTTTTATATGCAAAACTATCCCCATTTTTGCATGCATTCTTTATGTTGTATTCCATTGGCGTTTATAAACAAATCGAGACACTTTATGCCTTAAACTTTAATATATGTGCTTAATTTGCCAGCAATGGAAGAAACTAGTAAAATTTCTTCAGGAACACAGAATTTTGATGCAGAATCTCTAATGGGAACAATGCAAAGATGTGTTTAGTAAACAGCCGAAGTCACTAGAATTTGTATGAGGCTATCTATATCTTCGGAATTCTCCGACGATTTTTAAACCAATCACTTTGTACTTGGAAAGAAGAATAGCAGAAAAAAATTACGGAACAATATGGAGAAAATTTAAGTTTTAATAATACTTATTTAATAATAAAAATTTTTAATTTAAAATTACTAAAGTATGTTTCTTCCTTGCCAACCAACTTAAATAAATATTGATAGACTGGGAATCTTTTAAAAAAAAATAGCAATAATTACTGTTGCACTGGTAACTTTTACCTTAGCACCTGTTAAAAAAAATCATGAAATTTCACCAAGGCGGTTGAGCTAATATAGAAGTACCCCTTTTAAATGATGACAAAATAAATAATTAATGTACACATTGCTCTGTGGATAAATTTAGCAATGTACCACTTATTGATGTAAGGCAAAATAAAATACAAATGTTAATTAAACACTTGTTGATTCTTTATAAAAAAGTTCTACAAATGTCTACTGAAGATAATTCAGGTCAAATAAAATTTAATAAGAAAACTTATGCTGAAAATCACTAAGGGTGAGAGAATGGAATCTGCACAGTGTTTCATTCGTTGCTGGGAGACATATTCGTAAGCAGGTTTTCTTAATAAAAGCTAAAATTTAAAAATTGTGAGAGTAGGCAGCTATGCCAAAAAACTTCAATTTAACTAACTATACCTACTTATTACATAAAATTAAAATAAGGCTAAACCTTAAATAAAAATCAATATAAAAATATTCTTACAAAACAGAAAGAATAATAAATTAAGATTATGGCTGCTACGAGCCACACGCATTTATGAAATTACCAATACAGCAGCACTATTTTAAGAGTATTCACATTTCGCAGGCTCTACGCAAAAGAAAACAATTTATTGATCCATTGCTTTTACACACTTAAAATAATTCTGAAAAACTTATCTGCTATTATATTTCATTTTTCAAATATATATATAATATATTTATACAGTCAAAAGTCGTTAATTCGGACCTCAAAGCTAAAAACTTTCTGCGCATGTGCCGCATTGACACATGCGCATAGGCGTTTACGCGTGCGCGTGAGACCTTTACGACTGCGCATATGCGTGTGCGCAAGCGCAGAATACGTTTTCGCGTGCGTGTTTTATGTATAACAGACGGTATAAGCTAAAATTATCTAATTATCTATTTCAGTTAATGTTGCAGATTGTGTTGTTCCTTAATCTTCGAATTGGATCCGGCTTATTATTTTTTGCAGACTTAGAGCAATTTTATAAAAGTAAGCTTGAACTTTCCATTATGTCAAATAGAATTTCCGATGCTGGAGCTCCCAAAGGATCTACAAAATGAAAGTATGTTTTGATGTCCATCAAATAAAAAGTGGATAAAGACATGAAGAAGGTGACAGAGGTTAGTGAAAACAAAAAAATTTCGATCGGCAAGTTAGTCGGTATTCTCGGCACAGCAATTATGGGACTTGAACAGCGGAACTTTGTAACTGAACAAGAAATTATGTCTGTTTATAGAATTAAAGAGAAAGTAATATCACATAAAACAAACTTAAACAACTTACATTGAAAGAAATGTTTAATAAAGTAAACAAATAAATATTAAGCTTTTTTTTTTTTTTGTAAATTTTGATAACCTTTAGGTCATAATTGTTCTTTATTTCATAAATTACGGTTTCATATTTTTAATTTTTGAATTTGTGCATGCCATCTTACGAGATTTAAACTGATGATCTATAATCTGGAATCGCCGAAGTCCCGACGAGTCCGGATTAACAACATTTGACTGTAAATGGTAAAAAATATATTCATCTTACAACAGCTTTTAAAAAGAAAATGCACTATTAAAAGTTTTATATGCACAATTTCAATGCACAAGTATATTAACATTCTGTGCAAATAAATAAGAAATATAACGATAAACAGAGTATTAAACATATGATTTGTTCTTTTAAGAATCTTTCTCCAAGTGAAAGCACAAGCAAAAATTTACTATTACATTATTATTGCTATTTACTAAGAATAATGTGCATACAAATTGCATGCAAATTAATCGATTCATAGAAATAATTGTTTAAAAATTAAAAACAAAATGCTTATATTTATAAAAGTGAACTAAAATGTCAGAATAAATTTAATCATTAAAATTAGTTTTTTCCTATGCGTATGTCATGCATTTTGCTGGTTTTTTCCAACCAATTCCTAGTTATAAGAATAGTTTGCAGGTAGCAATTTATTACAAATAGCATTTATTATTACAACAAATTTTTACTAAAGCACATAAGCTGAAATGGAAAAGGAGGTCAAACAAGAGACACACATTTACAAATATCCATTAATGTAGCAGAAAACATTTCAGCTTTCAGATGTAGGCACCACCACATGAACTGTGCTCAGTAGGAGTCAAAATGTTGACACGCAGTGTCTGTTTGACATTTGTTCTGCCATCTAGCACTGCCCCAAAAGTGTTCGATAGATTGAGTATGACAACCCACGACTGAGTCAATAAAATTAAACAAATGATTCACTGAGAAGTGATCATGTCCTGCAACTTTCAATCCGCAATGTTTAATCTGCTACATTATTCTCTATCATGTTCATTAAAATTTTAACAGACAGATGGGGAACAGCTCCTGTTTTCCCGAGACAAACCTCCGAAAACCCACTGTGGAGGTAATACGTGACCTACATTATATTTCATCTCTGTGAATGAACTTTTATTGATTTCAATCAGTACCACTGACTCAGGGCTCAAAATTAGACTTGTAATTTAAAGTATGAGAAATTCAGTATTTATTAAGAGAGAATGAGCATTACTCAACCATGGAAAACAATTACATTCTTTTTTTTTTTTAAATTTTAAATAACAGTTCAATTTACAGAAATAATTTACAATGAGAGGGAAAAAAAAACTATGCAGAACTAAATTATATTACAAGATTTAATGATGAATTTTCAGTTAAAAATACAGAAAATAAATAATAATAATAAGCCAAACGCATAATATTGGCTTGGCACCTAAAAATAAATACAACTTATTTTTTGACTCATATTAATATTTAAATAATTTAACTTAAATCAAAATTCTGAACATTTTCTAAATTTTCATTTTATAACAGTCTCACCTTAACAGATATTGCAAGCAAAGTAATTTAAGTAAAAATAAGTAAAAAAAGAGAATTTTTCTGAAATCAGAAGATGGGAAATTGCTTCATGCAGTCATCCTTTAACAGTAAAGGCTTAACTAGCCGGCATACTCGGAAATTGCCAAATATCTGAAAATTCCGAATAGTTGAGCATAACTGGTAAAAGAGGAAGGGCGGTCAACCGTTCTTTAGATTTTTCAGCTAAATAATGCTTTTGACATTTCGATATCTGCATCATAAAAGATAGCCCAATGGAACTAAAAAATAATGTGCTTAGCAAGCACAGTAAAACTCTTTATCTCTGTGAAATATCACAAACGTTATTGCACAATATACACAATATGCCGCACGTGATATTACACAGTCGGAATCAACAGCTGCTGGTATTCGAAGAATAAATAACTAAATCAAAGAAAACATCCCTTTGCTTCGTTCGGTTTTTCACTGTCATGCGCCCACATGGCATATTTATCATTGAGCAGAACACATTACTCATATTGATTAATAGAGAGATTTACATATCTGGGGTGTTTTTTTTTTATTCTAATTTTGAGCAGACTGCGTTCCATTTCCGGAATAGAATCATTCTTTGCTTGGTTTGGTAGACCGCAGAACTTTTAGTCCTAGTCAATCCATGTTAAAAAGCAACCCCACCCCCAAAAAAGTTCATTGCTTGCTTTGCTACGAACTGCAATGGTTTCAATATTCGACATTTCGCGGAGAAAGGGGAGAACCTCCATCTTCCGTACTGAATAATGCATTAGCGGGGGGGGGGGGGGAGACTATTTGATTACTTTTACTTTATTTCAAATAATACTACGTTCCGAATATTATTATTCCTTAGAAAAATAATCTGTTAAAACACACCCATTTTTTAAGTTTATCTATACTTCAGTTACTGCAAATATATTATAAATATTCATACATATGCTCATAATATAAGCATACCGATCATGATAAACGCGAATATGAACTGACCACGCCGAACGAGAATGTAAATTATTAAAATCTTGATAGAAATTCAAACACGTGTAGTATTATTATTGGGTGGGAGCAAAAGAAAAGGGAATGTAGCCCAATTTTCTACTGCTTTTGCAATTCTCTGACCAATAGAACAACATGCACCTGTCTTTACTTGCACACACCAAAAGTTATGTTAACTCTTTCGCATCGAGAGAGGGCAAAATCTCAATTCCTCAAACATCAAAAACGCCCATATCTAAGAATTTCTTCTGGAATGCTTTTCCTTCCCCCATGACAAGTTGAATACTACAGCGCTAACAATAGCCTTACTTAAGTAAAGCGAGAACTTCTTTCTTCGACGCTTTGACACTGTGTGAAGTTCCCCCTTGGGACGGGAGTGCAACTTCGGGCATCAAAAGCTAAACACTGACAGTAAACAAAGGAAAGGAAGGAACAAAGGAAACAAGGAAGCTACTTTTAGTAGCTTCAAAAGAATGATTGACATGTGATTTAACAACACCTGAAAGCAATGAGTAATGCAGTAACGTGATGGGGAAAAGCACTGGGTAGGAAATAATCAGGCGTTTTGGCCGTCCAGCCGGTGTCTGAATGTTTGGGCGATTGGGGCGGCTTCAATGCGAAAGAGTTAATGCAGAGAAAGGGGTGAAAAGCTATTTTTGGGAGTATGACTCACCATCTGGAGTTCTGTATAAGGAAGAAAAGTTGTTTATTTAGTTTCCGCTTTGGTACCAGGGAAAAAATAAAAAATATATGTATATAAAAAAACCGCACTAAAAGCAAAAAAATAAGTGCTTTAGAGAAAATGTATGCAGATATAAGCACTTTTATATTTTATTTTCAAATATAAGTACTTATAAGGACCGCTACGAACCCTGTGACTGACATCGGTATCACTTAGTTTTAGGATGAGACATCACAGAACTGTAACAAACCTCTTCGAGATAATTGTTCCAGTCCATTGCTATGTTTTGATTAATTGAAGCTGTTGTCCACAAAAATTAATTCAGATCTTTGCACCAAATTAATGAATAGTACACTGGTGAGAAATGGAATGCACAAGTTCTCAAAATACATAGTTTTGGATGCCTTTCTCTTCTCTGCATGACTGAAAATATCAAAATCATTTAGCCTTCAGGGAATATCCGACTTTTATCAAATGCTTATTTGAACAGTCCTTTATGGACAAGACACTGATCTCGAAAGATTATAATTGCCACTTTTTCGTTGCTCAGTAAATACAAAATTTTCACATTTACTGTGGTAAAACGCGAAAACTGAACATAAATTTAACGATTGAAATTAATTTTGTGAAGGAAGCAAGTCAAAAAACTTTGGTTCCTAGTTAAATAAATTTAAATCATTTCAAATTTTAAGCTTAGCATTCTTTCCCGCTATGCATCTGCCACGACTTTTTGCATGTAGCAGGCGATGCTTTATTGACAGTCATCTGTCATGTGGTGCGTATTTGTCATCAGTAAAGAAGTACTTTCTTGTAAGTAGAAACAGTTTACGATTAAAAAACACGACAAAATAGGCATAATACAGTTACATTTTTATAAGAGTAAACTACATATGTGCATCTAGGAAAAAAAAAAGCATTTCTTGAGGCATTTTGTAAGTTCCTAAATTTGGGAAAATGGTACTTACGTATTATCGCAACCAGGTTGACGCTATTTGTAAGTTTGAGTAAAAAAGTATGAATAGAAAGAAAAATGTACATTTATTAATTACAGATAATTTTTTAATACAGTTTTTTTACAGTTTTTATATATTTGTTTTTAAAATAAACCCTTCCGGTTTCGAATTTGAATAAGTTGCAGAATTATTTTTTCGGCGGAAATCTTTTGGCTATTGCTTTAGCACTGATTAAAAACCGTATTCGCCATAACCATGTACACGTCGACTTATTTTTACTTAAAAAAACATCCCAGAATTGCACAAAAATGGCATTGCACACACTCTTCACTTTATCCATGTACACTGCTATTTTCTCATAAATTACAAAAATTTGCACGAAAATTTTGTGAATCTCCACATGCTCTTTTTACAAAACTACGTATAACACATAGGGTTGCCGTAAGAAGGGTCGCCAAATTTCGCAATTTATGCGAATTTTGGCATGGTTGCGTTAATACGCAAGTACCGGGAAAACTTAGAGATTGACAAAAAGAAAAACAAATAACAAAGACATAGGAATCCTGAACCCACGGCATACTATGTGGACATGACGAAAACAGCTCTGAAATTTATTGTATCATCACATTTCAAACTTAAGGTGTCCTTTTTATTTGGTCAAATTCAGAAAAAGCTACTGAAATATTTGAAATACTCTTAAATTGGCCATAAGCAGACATAAGTCTCAATTTTTAAATTGAAAAATATTTAAGTTTCTCTTAGTGAAATGGAAATATAAACAGGCTAATTAAAAATAAACAAACTTTGAGACACAAACTTGAAAAAGAAAATAAATCTTGACATGCTGAATCATGTAATTATGATAAGTCTATATATAGACCAATTGTATAATATATAACGTATGTAAACTTTTAATTATACAAATACGACATTTCATTTATCCTCTCAAATGCCAAGTCAGCCCTACAAATGCTTCATCTCATGCTGCTATGAAATTCATTAGTCGTTAAAACTGCAGGATATTCTAGATAAATTTTAATAAACCTTTCTGGGAAATAATAATAATAATGTTAATATTATCAACAATTTCAATAAAACTTCTTATGAATATTTTATTACATACACTTATTTCTAAGATTTTCATTTTATAAGTTCATGCTATCAAGTTACTAAATTAAAAAAGCAAATAAGATGAGGTTTAATTAGAAGTGGTAAAAGAAGTGAACATCAATTCAGCTGCTTAAATTGACATCTTATCTATGATCACCACATGACAAAATACGTCTGGTATTTGTTTTTAACACATTCATCTTAAAATCCTACTTCGAAAATTAGAAATTATATATACAATTACAATATTACAATTTTTGGGACAAGAAGTCACATACTTATTAAAGATAGCATTTGTACTAACCTTTAAAGAGCCAAGACCACCGGCATGAATTCTGTGTTCTAATTCTAAAATCATGTCACGGAGAGTGAGATCTAAAGCTAGTCGTGGTGACATGCCTGCATAACTACTTGAGCTATGAGAATTTTGATGCCTTTGAGATTTCCTTACTTCTGGTTGAGGGGGTAAAGGCAGAGATTTATTTAAGCTATTGTATGGGCATTTTGCCATTATTTCTTTAATTCTTTCTTTTTCATTGATAAGAGCCTCTTTTAATTTCCTTTCTCTAAAACCACGAGGATTTAAATTAGATATTAAAGCATCTAATTCTTCTTCTTTATAGTAAAAAGACCATTTAGTTCTAGGTGCATTTATATTATGAACAGGACATGTGTCTATATTTGCACTGCACTGGTCTGTAGGTAATAAGTTTTTAGAATGTGGACAATACCACACTAAATTGTCCTGGATTTCTCCTTTTTTATTTTTACACAACAAACAAGCCTCATCTTCAAGCAAATCATCGTGCACAGATTTCTTAGAGTCTACTCTCGGATTGAGATCCGAGAGTTTTCTGTTTTTAAATGGGAATGGAAGATCACTTTGTACAATAGCTATGTCTCTTAAAATTTCATTTTCTTTATCACTACTACCATTTTTAACATCCATGTGTTGTAAATATTTCTTAATAGCAGAACTGGTAGTTTCAGACCGCACACTTGCTATATTTGGAGACTGAGCCTGAATTGTTGGTTTTGGAAGACATGTTCCTTTAAATGGATCATCATCTTCAACAAACACAGCAGGTAAAGACTGAAAAACCCAGTATCGCCTAAAAGCTCGATCCTTTCCAATAGGGGTTATATTGAAGGACGACTGCAACTTCCTAATCTGCAATTCAATTTCTCGCTCTTTGCGAAGAAATTCTGCCTTTTGCTTGGCAGCCTGTTTAGCTTTCTTTTCTTCCAGTTCGGCACGTTCTTCCGGAGTTAAATTATCCGAGTTCTCCTTCTCTTCTTCATCTACAGGGCTAGGAGTTTCGTTTACTTCCCTGCAAGGAAAAAGAGGTAAGTTAAATGCCCATATTTTCATCTTATTTATACATATCCTCAATTAAGATTTCATACGATTACAATTTCATATTTCATCAAAGAAAATCTTCAAACAGTTAATTAGGAATTTCAAGACAAAAAATATTCTTACTATAGAAGTAAGTTATTAGTTTATTGATATTGTAGTTATTAAAGTTTATTGATAGACAATAAACTTTAATAACTACAGATGCATGTATAATATTCAGTTAAAAAAAGTATAAATATACTAACGCTTCATTTCCATCTCCCTTTTCTTTAGGCTTTCCATCTCCTTTTTTTTTACTGTTAAATAAACAAGGTTTCAATATAATTTCTTTATTAAAATTTAAAGGAATAAAAAAAAAAAAAAAAAAAGAGAGAGAGAGAGAGAGAAGAAAGAGGAAGAAGAAAAGTAAAGCCAGTTTCACTAACCTCATTGTCTCCTCCTTTTCTTTACGAGAATGTGCCCATTTTAACTGTTTTAATTGATGCCGCAAAGGACGTGTATTATCAGCATTCTCATCTACAGCACACCTCAGTACATCACAAGCCAGAAGCTGATGAACTAACAATTTCAGTATCTTACAGCGATCCTCTGAAACAGACAAAATAAATTAGATAAAGTATATTAACATTTATCTTAATATTATATATGTATCTAAAAAGAAAAGGGGGAAAAAGTCAGGCAGTAAATGCTAAGACTATAATTCTAAAATATGGATAAACTAATTTATTCATTATTTGTTTTATTAATTTGCAACATATACAGTTATAGCAAATAAGATATTATGTTTTGTGGATTAATAACGACGTAACTTTTTATTCCAAATACCATCTGAGTGAAAATGGAAACAACTAAATATTTTAAATATTAAAAAACAGATTAGGTGCCAATAAATTCAACTATTTTATTATTACAAAAAATTTATTGACATTGATGCACAGCAGTTACATTTGTCTTGGGTCAAATACAGAAATGTCTTTTTGTTTAGTAGGCCTATTTTAAAAAACATTTTTCATTTAATTCTAGGTTATTCAACCACCACTAATTCTATTCATGTTAGACAGATAACACGAATTTAAGTTTCCCTGTTTCTTCTGAACATATTTTACGATTTATTAGATTCTCAGCAAAAATCTAATATGTTTTGGAGTAACAGCTTTGCCCAGAAGTTCTATGATATAATGACAGTTTTCTTATCACTGGTTGCAATTCTTATTTGTATAGAATTTGTTTTGAGTAACTTGCATTTCACATGGAATCTAGCATCATATGATTCCTTAAACAAAAAATACTTATAAATCTGACAGAATTTCACCTAAAAAAAAAAAAAAAAAAAAAAAAAAACCTTGGCACATTATGGAACCAGACACAATGCATGACACAAGCTACCGAAGAGATACTTAATCACTTTCCAACACAGCATTTTTGCTAAAATTTGGCAGATTATATTTATAATTAAATTATACTAATAATTTAAAAAAAATGCAAGACCTAACTTAAACACCAAAATTTTTAACATTCAAATTTATTATTTAAAAAATTATTTACAGAAATGAATAAATTTACTAATAGTAACATTATGCAGCTTTACCGCAATTCAAATCAAAGACACTTGTTTTCGCCAATTTTTTTAACAAATCAGTTTCTTCTAACTTGAAAAATAGGCCAGGATCTTCACTAGGGCCTGAAACACCTTGCCAACTAACACGGCGTCTGGCTCCTGATGACAATATGTGCAGACGTAGGATTTCAGTGACAGAAAAGGAATCCAATGGAATATTCCGCAAAGCTGTTCCTATGAAAAAGAAGTTTAAAAATATTAGTTTAATGTACATGAACATAAAATCAAATTAAGGTCTCCATATACAAAGCACATTAAAACACTGAAAATTTTATATAGAAATTGCAGATATTAAAGAAAAAATGTAACATTAATTTTTAATTTTTTCCCCCTTTCCATCTGTTAGAGTACCTGGTAGTACTTCAATTCAGGATTTCAAATAAGACTCTGAAATGAGCAAAATTTCCTGCATTTACAAAGCTCAGTTTCAAGTGTCTTAAAGTGAAATCGATGTTCCTTTGCTTCTTGTATGCAAAAAAATAAAATTAAGAACAAATCTTGCATCATTTTCTAAATAAACTAGTCCAAAGCATCAATTTCTTAATACTTTTGAGAAAACTCATGTTGCTTAGACATCCTTTACAGCATGCACAAATGAGAAGTCTTTGTTGCAAACACTGCAATGTACATGATACATGAAAATTTCAGATTCTTTAAATGCAGGGATCTCAAACTCAAAATTGCATGACGGCCGCTACCTGCATGATCTAAAAATCAGCCTTGGAGACTCAGAAAAATTACTGGAAATTTCCTTCATGACAGATTGTAAATGCTCACTGGTTAACTGGATTCTTATCTCAGGAATATTTAATTGTGTAAAAAAATGTTTTCACATATAAATGCATTCAAACAAAATGATTATTCTTAATACAACAATTTGTAACTGAGCTTACTGATTTTTTAAAAAAAATCTGTGCCTCTAAATCTTTGAATAATACTTATTTAAAAATTAATTAACTACATCTTTAGATTTTTTCTGGTGTATTACACGTTTCTTTTTAATAGAAATAATATAAGCTCAAACTTCAAATAATTAAAAAGCTTTGCAATACTGTATTTGCAATAAATACAAAATTGAAATGTATTCAGGGGCCACATCCAACCTATATCTGAGCACTATGATCAGCTTCATCCAGTCATGAGTTTTTCTTTTGTCACTTGGTATATATTAGTTTATAGTTTAAGATAATTTGCTTTCTTACTTTCTTTAAAAATATAAATATTTTCTTAATGAACGCAAGTTTATGAAAACTGAGACTCAAATAAGTAATTATATAAATTTAGCTAATAAAGGCTGTTTAAATACAGGTCTTCATGACTAGATCTGTGCCAGAGTTAATGCACAGAAATTCTGTAGAATATGAATTTTTAAATTTCAGCTTCTTAGTTTGAAGTGGCAAAATTCACAAAGAAATTTTCAACTTTAGGTAAACCGCAATTCACAAGACACATGGAATTACTCTCTCCATATAATCTAAATAAACAGAACCGAAGCAGGGTAATATGTCCTTTACTGCAGGGAACGAGATTACAGGGATTAACGGAGTTTACTGATCTGCAATTGGTACTCTTCAAAACCAGCAATGTACTTAACGTGCTGTCATAGGCATTCAGTTAATCATCAGATGAAATAGTTTACATACTATTTCCCCTGTCCTCTTTCTGTAAAATCTGTACTTTTCCTCCTCTAGTAGTTGGGAGTCTATACTAAAGGCTCAACGTTGTTTTAGACAACCCAATATATAAAAAGCTGGAAAAATAGAAACAGGTCATTTACTTGTAGCAAAACAAATTATGTTAAAATGCAAAATTTACATCACCGATGTAAACAAAAAACACTGGTGGGAAGCATGATTTTAGAACTGCAAAAGTTTGGAATGCAATAAAAGATTTAAGATCCAAGAGAAATTTTAAAAGATGTCTTTCATAGGAATGCCATTTCAGAAAGGACAGCACATTTAAGAAAAGTCAACCGGTATTTTCCTTCTCAACTGCAGCAACATAAAAGACTCTTTAACAAGATCCTTTTTTAATTTGAAAAACTGCTGCTCGTGTAAGTACATGTGTTATTGGCATTATGTAAGAATCATGAGACAGGGATTAATTATGAAATGATAAACTTTGGAAAGATATTACAAGCATATTACTATTCTGAAATTAGAAAAGGGAAAAACAAAGTAAAAAGAAAATATAAAGAGTTACCGAAAATTAAAATTTCAGCTTATAAATTTTTTATCTTGCACACAATTTAGTTTTATAAGTATATCAAACATTTTCTTCAATTAATTTAAAATTCAGATCGAAACTTTACCATTTAGAATGTTCGAAAGTACTTTTTCCCTATACTACAGCTTAATTTTTTAACAAACCGAACCTTTTTTAAAATCTGGTCATACTTTGCCAATAAATTATTTAAAACCTGATGGATAATTGTTTGAGACAATTTAAAAAACTTTTTAATTTACAGCGAGCATATTAATAAAATATTTTAGCATATCAAATACACTAAATATCAAATTTTTACTTTAATACAGAATACTAGTTTATTTGTTATAAATAACATGGGTGCTTCAGGTACTCTTAAGCTGCATAACAAAAATGATCACCATGCAGTTCCACGCATAACAAAAATTGCAAGCAATGAAAGTAAAAATAATTTGCCTAAAAGTAATGGGACAGCGAATACATGACAGAACTAAATCATTAATAATGAACGCATGAAGGGATGGGCAAGAAGAAAAAAAATCATGCATAAATATATGCATCATAAAAAGTACAGTAAAAATTAAACACACAACATTTCTAAATTTATACGCAAAATATTTTACCATGATATTTTTGAGGCCATGTTGATACAGAAGATGCAAGTTTCATTGCTTGATCTACTGTCAAATTGTCTAAATTTTCAAAACCTATGAATAAAAATAATTTTAATGTATGTAGTATAGACAACTTTTGAAAGCATAATTTCAGTATTTAAACATCATACACAGTTAGAAGTTCATTAAATCAATATGAAATAAGCTATTTTCAAGAATGCAAAGAGGTGGGAAAAACAGCAACGGTTTTTCACAGTACATACCACTAACTTCTTCATCTTTTACAGGAACAGCATCTTCTTCAGCTTCTTGATAACGGAATATAGACGTCAAAAAAAGCTGTAGAAGATCATTAAACACTCCCTGAATGTCAGTCTCCAGAAGAGCCTTCTCTATATGTTCTGTAGGGAAAGCAGATTTACTTAAAATCAAGAAAATTTCATGTGTTTTAAAGAAGTACATGTATAGTTAGCATATAAAATTCTGTGGTATTAAGTTAACAGACAGTTATCACTGAAGAATGGTAGAATTAGATGCAAAAAACATGCAATGTTCAAATATCTACAAAATAAATCTAAAATATAAAAAAACTTCACTATTAACAGCTGATAACTGTAATTCTTATTAATTACAAACTAACACATATTTTGTATACAATATATATTTTAGAACTTATTTTCATAATAAAATAAGGATACACACACAATAAAGGTCATATGAAAATTATGAAATATACATATTTTTAATATTGTGCAGTATTTAGTATAGCTAGGTAACATGATCATATTTGTGGGTACGATATAACTCAGAATATACTGATAAATCAGAAAAAAATAAATGCAGTACTTTTTTCTTGGAAAGATATAATGACCATTACTGCAGAAGAACATATTTTAAACTGAGTAGGAAAGATTAAAAACTACCAATATGAAAAGAGGAAGTGAAGGAAAATACAGAATTTAATCATAAAGAGATGACTTGTCTAAAATCAAGAAAAGAAAATCTGGGGAGGGACTATAATAAATTAGCATATAATTGAGGGGGGAACTGATAAATTTGCAAAGGGAGGAACCCTCAGGATGTGGCAAACCAGCCTAGCTTTAAAATAAGAATTTCACCTAAAATAATTCATTAACTTCAATGAAGTTAAATGCACTAAAAACACAGATTGACAGATTTCAATAATACGATTACAGGCTACCAAAATTTTTAAAGAAGCTGCTAAAAGCAACTAAATTGCATGAAACTTTTATTCAAATCCTAAAAATCAAGGATTAACATGTTGGGCCCAGTTCCTAAGTTCTAAAATTTGATGTTTCAGTTAAATCGTAAACTGAATCGTAAAAGTAAACTTAAATCGTAAAAGTAACTTTTTCAAACATTTATTAAAAAAAAAAAAAAAAAAAAAAAAACTGTGGTTATTAGGCATCATTACATGCTACTATGTATGCTCTTCAGATATGTTGGTTAGCATGTCTTGTTGATAAGTTTATAGTTTATGATTTATGGTTTAAATCCTAAAAACGGCAAGATTGATTTTTCGCAATTTTTACTCCAAAATATATAATAAGTCTCTAGTATTTTAATTTATCCAACTGAGACTACAATCATTTTATGTTTCATCAGCTTGGCGACATTCCTCTTATTCCTTTCACTACTTTCAGCAACATATTATTTGCAGATATCTTTTTTAAAATCAATGCTAAAGATCTTAAAATAAGTTTCCCAATATTCATGCTTAAACTTTTACAGACATTATAACGAAAGCACAACAAATTCGAAAAATACTCTGCAATATGAATAATCTGCTAGTCTGCACTTACATCATTATTATTTTGTATAAAGTGAAAAGAATAATAAATTGTAATAGATCTACATATATTTTATGTAGTAAATCATAAAACAGACTGATGCATTTACATACATTACTCAAGAGCACTTATGTACATTTTTGAGGCACCCATTACTCGAGAAAAATTGACCTATGCTTTGAAAAGCCTTCCTTGTGGAAAAACACCTGGGGGAGATAGAATCCATTCTGAATTTCTCCACCATCTTGGTCTTAAAGCATTTGAGACTGGATCTTTTTCAATCTAATTTGAAACACTGGTATTGTACCAGCTGAATGGCGAACTTCTATCATTATTCTCATACATAAGAAAGACAAAGATCGGGATAGTCTCCATAATTATAGACCAACATCACTTACTAGCATTATGGGGAAGGCTATGAAGAAAATAACCGTGAGAAGACTTAATTATCACTTAGAAACTTGCGGACTTTTTGCCGAGGAGCAGGCGGTGTTTAGAAACTCCAGATCTACTAATCAACATGTTACCCTCCCGAGTCTATGTGTCAAGGACACCCTGGATAATACACAGGTCCTGACCGCAGGTTTTATTGACCTCAAGTCTGCCTACGACAAAGTATGGCAGGAGTGCCTCTTACTGAAACTGTCTGGGCTAGGCATTAGAGCAAATCTTTTTAATTGGATTAAAGGCTTCCTGTGACAGCGCTTTTTCAGAGTCAGGTACGGCAATGCTCTATTGAAATCTAGGATCTTGAAAACAGCTCTCCCACAGGGAACTGTTAGTAGCTGCTGCCTTTTTAACATCTATATTAATGATTTGATTTATAAAATACGAGAGACTTCTGGTGTCAAGTGCCTCTTATACGCTAATGATTTGGTTTTCTGGAATGTTTTTAAAAAAGAAAGTGCAGTGAGAAAATTAGAAACTAAACTCTCTGTTGCCTTGAATGATTTGGAAGTTTGGTGCGATACTAATAATATGGAGGTGAACTTAAATAAATCATACTGCCTGACTTTCTCACTCCCGCACCAATCTTTGGATCTTCAGCTGACATATAAGGGTACCCAAATCCCCTTGTGTGATAAATTTAAATATTTGAGTGTGACGTTTGATCGCAAATTAACATGAAAGTCACATGTTGAGGACTTGTACAACCGTGCTATGAAGAGACTCAGTGTCCTTAAACACCTTGTTCGGGCAAGGTGGGGTTGCACTGGACAAACCCTGCTCTAAACTTATCACTCGTTTATCCTCCCCCTTCGAATTACTTGTTCCACTACAAAATCCAATAAATTTGAAATCTTTCTGGATTAATCTTGACCTGGATCAAAAAGTAATGAAACGTAATACGGATCCGTCTATTTTGAGAGCCCTCGCTTTCGAAATATTAAATATTTTTTACCCTGAGCCAGATTGGCTTCGTATCTTCACTGATGGATCCCTTATGTCTGATGGCCTTAATGCAGGTGAAGGAGTTTTCTCTTTTTACATCCCTGTGGGCCAAGGTTCTGCATTTGACGGTGAAATTGCTGCGATTCGCACTGCTCTGTACCAGCTACCATGCCACTTGGAAAAATTCTCAAGAGCTGTTATACTCAGTGATTCCCGAGCTGCTGTGTTAGCTACAGTTTGAGATAAAAATCTCATATCACAGGACATATCGGATTTTCGACATCATCTACAAAACCTGGCTTCACTTGAGAAAACTATTGTTCTCCAGCGGGTTTCTGAACACTGTGGGATTCCAGGGATACGAGAAAGCCGACTTCTTGGCAAAAAAGGTGCTTCAATCATGCAGAATATTTCTCGTCCTTTGCCTTTCCATATTGTTAAGGACCTTATTAAAAGATCTATCAAAGTAAGTGCTCAGGAAGATTTCTATCATCGTCTTTCTCATAAGTCTTGGAAGAATGCTATCCCGAATTTCTGTAATGGCGTAGAGCGGTCGCTGAATTCCGCCTTGCCACCGGACATGACTGCCTACAGTATCATCTTCATAGATTCAAAATTGTTCCTTCTCTGATATGCACTCTGTGCAGCTCTGAAGAGGTGATGGATACCGCACATCTACCCCATTGTCCCGCTCTGTGCAAGACTTTTCTCGCCGAGCGTTACTGGGAGGTAAGAGATATGTTAGATTAATGGACTCTGTTGCAGCTGTTTCCCCCCTCATTATATTGCTGTATTCTATTTTTTTTTTTTCCCCTGTAACTGTTCATAATCTGCCATTGGAAAATTAAAAAAAAAATTACATACATTTCACATTTTTTGACACACGCAGTTTTTTCCTAAATCCTGCATATAACTTTATAACAGAAAGAAAGAAATTAATTCTACATTTTAAGAATAATAATAGAATTTTTATAATAATAAACATATTGCTTATTATTATAGATGAGTACTAAACTACTACGTATTATTATAAATTGGAATTCATATTATCATGAAAATATTAGTAAAAGCACATTTCTTTTAAACTAAGCATGTAAAATAAATTATAGCTAAATAGCTTCCTATGTGGATAAAATTTAAAAATATTTACCAAATGTGAAACCCTGAGGAAAAGCATCCTTAATTTGAACTTGTTTTCCAAATGTATTGAGGAATTCTAAAATCATAACTGCATCGCCAAAGCAATCCTGAGGAATATCACATTCGACAGGTGTAGCAGCTGGTAAATCCTAAAATTTGTATCCAGTAAATATATTATTATTATTAAAGCTTTGACTTCTAAAAATGAAAAATGCTCTATATATATACATATGTTAAAGCATGATAAAATTTTAAAACAATAAAAAATTTTAGACTGCAAAAATAAAAACAATTTAGAAAGGAAATGACTTTTTGCCCTTTTGCAGCAAAAGTCTCTCCTTAGATTTAAAATGAATCTTTTCATAACCTAAGTATATACTTTTATGCCTCTGATATGGGGTTTCATACACGTTTATTATACTGTATTAATCAAAGACTACAACAAGGAACTGGAATATCTGGTTTCGACTTCAAAGACGTACAGTGGAACCTTGAGATACGAGGAAAGTATGAGCGAAAAATTTGTCTCTAAATACAAGCAATGACTTGAATAATGAGCAAGGAGTCAGGCTGTGGGTATGTGTATTGCGTTTTTTAATCCAGCTCAACTCATGGAATCTCATTGTCAGATCACTCAGTGGTCTTTGATCTATGTGTTTGTGTGCTTGTGAGTCAATTGTTTTTCACATTTGACATGAAAACAATTATTTCATAATGCCTCCTCAAAAAGATTGTTGTCTCAGATAGTGATGCAAAGAAAAAGAAGGAAGCCATGGTTGTTGAAATTAAGAAAGAAATAATAGACAAACGTAAGTGTGGTGCAAGAGTGACGGAACTGGCAAAGACTTATGGCCGTTGGACATTGACGATCTGCACTATTCTGAAGAAGATAAAAGAAATTAAGAAACTTGATGTGCCCAAAGGAGTTACCTTTATTTCCAAGCACCATCCAAAACTCCTAGAAGATGTTAAGAAGGTGATGTTGCTCTGGATTAAAGAGAAGCAGTTAAAAGGTGATTCAGTGTCAGAAGCTATTATTTGCACTAAGGCTAAGAATCTGTACTTCGACCTTCTCCAAAGAAACACCAGGTATGTTGACTGAAGAAGAGATGACAATCAGATTTTTGGGGGTGTGGAACGGATTAACTGAATTTCTAATATTTTCAATGGGGAAAGTTTGTTTCTAGATATGAGAAATTCGCTATATGAGGTCAGTGCTGTTTAAGTAGTCGGAAAAATTTTTTGTATGTGGAAGGCAGAATACGCCATTGAGAAGGCATTTGATGGACTTGGAGAAGCAGTGTGCAATTGGGAGAATGGAAGTAGGATAAACAGACACAAGTTTATATGGACTTGCTAATCTTACTTCTTTAATAATTCCAGTGTTGAGGATGAATAACTCTGGAAAACTTCATGAAATGTTATATGTTCAGATACTACATAACGTAAAAACTGCAATTTTTAATATCTTTATTAAAAGACAAAGTCCTTTTTATAAGTGCCTGTCCGTATCACAATAATCTTTTTTGTAATATTCCATATTTTTGTTTTGTACGGGGGGGGGATCACAAAAATGAAAGAGCACAGGAAATAGAACTGTATCAAGAGATCTTGGTATTAATAGTAGAAAAGTTATTTCTTTATTCCTTGGCCCTAGTTATTTCAAAGTCATGAGCCTTTTTGTTAGTAAACTGCACTAAAGTAGCAACCTTACTCGGGAGGTAAAACATAGCCAAATAATCAGCAATCCTACTCACAGTCACTTATAGTCTGCCTAACATAAAAACTCTGAATAAGGTGGTCACAGTTCAGAAAACATAAGTGCTCATTAAAATAATGGAGGCTCTAAAACCGCAGAGCTTATCTTGCTTTTCACTGCTTTTTCCAAAAATTCTTGAATAAATATGAGAAATCCATCACAATCTTACTGCAGAACAGTCTATTATGTATTAACAACAGTAATACATTTTTCATTTGTAATAGCCTTTTCCTACACTTCTAGCCATTAATATACCTGACAACTTAGAGAAAGTAAAAAATCTGATGTGTGCATCCCATGACTTCCTTGTACGGAATATTAAATTATACATATTTTTTCTTGCATTTCATTTAAACTTATTGGATTGACTTAAATCTACTTCGTCGATAGCACATAAACCACAATAGAATAAATGCACACTTTACAGTTCACTATATTTGTTTACCATTAAATTTACTTCGGCGATAGCGCATAAACCACAATAGAATAAATGCACTCTTTAAAATTCAGTATATTTGTTTACCATAGCGACACTCTGGCCCTACGTTCACCTAACAGTGCTACACTTCACTCATTTTTTTTAACTCAGAATGCACTAAATTTATATGATCTTAAGAATTATCTAATCGTTGCTACATGATCCATTCAAATACTAAAATAAATCCAAAATCATGTATAAAAGAAATTAAGCAAAAAACAACAACAACAACAAAAAAAAAAAAGGGGGGGGGGGGGGGGGGGAGTTTTTTACAGACGGTTTGCTATTTCTTATTCAATTAATTCAGTTCTCACTTCACTACAAAGCAAAAATACATACAAACTCAAAATGTCTGTATTGAAAATTATGAAATAAATCTTAAACACTTATTTCCTCGAATAAATTCTAGAATGGATTAAGCATGATTTAATTCGTAATAATAAATGAATGCGTTATCTTCGTTGTTGGGAAGTTTCGTCTCTCTAGATTGGCAACAAATCTATTCTATTGTTTCAAATGTGAACAAGCAATGGCTTACATGGCAAAAATTATTAGGCTTAGCAGCACTCAAACAACTTTTAAATTGATGATAATTCTAAAAATATTGCATACAGATTTACTAAAGGCATAAAAACCTTAACCGGAAGGTAAGAAAGGCATAATTCAATCATTTTTAAAACAAAAAATGCACAATTTACAAACATATGAGAATAAAGAAACTGAGATCACTGAGCCGAGTAACAGAGTGGATATATATATACATATATTTATATACTTTTGGTGCGGCCAATTGCAACCAAAATACGAGGTGCACATCTACATGTTATAGCAGTCCTATATGCAAAATTTCAACGTTCTGAGGGAACTCGTTTTTGAGTTATGCGAGATACATACGTATGCACAGATGCCACAAAAAATTATCTTCAGAATTCATTTAAAATTAGTTTTAAAATTTTTTTTGGGGGGAAAAGAGTCCTTTATTCTGTCTTTACAAACAGATGTTAAGCAAAAACATTGTTAAATTGCATTCGGTAGTGGTGAAAATGGATATTTGCTTTGAAATATGATGCCTGAAACTTTTCGCGATTACAATACTTCCTTTTTACGTACAAGGAAGTAAAAATTAGGAGATTTTTTAATACAATAAAAAAAAAAAAATTACATTACAGCCAACACATACCTGAATATTTTGAAAGACTTACAAAGGGAGGAAAATTACAGTAAAAAAGTAAATGTAATTTTTTTTTCAAAAATCCTGTTATACAACCTTTATTGTTTTGTTTAAATTTCGGAATGAAGATATTCGAAAATCATCAAAACAAAAGGTAAAGATAGTTTAAAACAACAGACAGATACAAAAAGTACTTTATTTTAATAATACTTTTCTCAATCAAAAATTTAAATACACTACTCATACTTTAATATCATCTTAATGTTATCATATTTGTTAAAACAATTGTCATGAAATTCACAAAAAAATATGAATCAAAATTTTTGTAGGCAAAGCGAGATTAAAATCACCAGACTCGGAAATGTTAGCTGGGCAAATCCAAGAGTTGTTTGAAATTTTAAGTGAAATTAAGGATCTTTAAGGACCAGACAAGCTTTACATAATTTTCATCCGATTTGTAAAAATATGACTTTCTTGATGCGTCACTCTCCTACTCCATGTCTGTAATGATTGCATTATGATTTCAAAATCTAATAATTTGGTGATTATAAAAATTTTAAAAATAAAAAAGGTTCATTTTTACAAACTCTTATACAATCAAGTTTAAAAATAATTAAATAAACAAAAACTTATGTTTATATTACTTTCAAACATTACACACAGTATTCCATATTTTCATAGTAAACTATTAGATTTTCTAAAGTACGTTTCTAAGAACTGACATCTTTTCAGAATTTTACAGAATACTATAGTCTACTTTAAGAAAGAACTAGAATAAATCATACTTTCAAGTCGTCACACTCCAAATCATCTCTTGGTTTCTTCCATGAATTTAAATACTCAGCAAGAATCTTCTTTTCTTCTCGTTTTTTCTCTCTTTCCTGTAAATATATTACACATAATCAAAAGAATTCTTTTTGAAAACAAACACAAACTTCATACAGCTAAAAAAACCAACAAAGAAATATACTTTAAGCTTTTCTTGTCTCTGACGCTCTTTATCTTCTTCTAGTTTTTTCTTTTGATCATCTTTAATTTTCATTCGTTCTTTTTCAGCAGCTAATCTCTGCTTTTCACTTAAAGCCTGTTTATCAATACTTTTCTTTTTTTCTTCAACAGTTTCCTTTTTAAAATTTAACTTTCCTTGAACAGTTTTTTTACCTATATCAGAAATAATAAATAAAATAAAATAGCAATCAAATCAATACATAAAAATTGTTTTATGTTTTGTTGAGTTTCTGATTCATTCTTTATATGCAAAATTTTCATTTTTCATTCTGACAAGACTTACACCACAATCTCTAAATACCAAAGATCTATAGTTAGAACTTTATAGAAGTCTATATATACAGTAAAGTCCCATTTAACTGATACTGTGATACACAATTAAACAACCCGAAAGACAGTCATTTAATTTTTTTTTTATTTAAAGTTTTTTCTCATTATTAAGACAAACAAAATATTTCTTAATGTAAATATGGGATAACAGTAAAGTGCACAAAACTAGCAGGCTACTTTGAAAGCAAACAAACTACAATAAATATAGATTACAAACTACAATAAATAAGAAAAGGAAATAACACACCTTAACATGCAGAGATAATTTCTAAGGATGAGCAGTTAGTTACACATAATTAAGCTCTCTAGTTAGGTACTCTTAGTTATACATGGTTACAATCACAATTTTTTTCTTTTTAAATTTCTAAAAAATATCCATTAAAAAGCACTAATAACATTTTAGAGCAGTTATAATTTAAGACATTGATTCTAAAATTACATTAATATAACTATGCATTAAAAGCTACAAAAACATTTATATTTTGTAGCAACGACAAACAAAATATCTATGCACATTTTTAATTTGAAAATTTTCCAGATATTTTAGCAAACTTACATTAATTTTCTTATCTTTAGCATTTAGGTTTACTTGTTTCTATGCTTCATCTGCTAATTTGTTAGTTTCAACAATGTACCTCTGGAGAATAATTTTCTTTCTTTAGAAAATCAATTTCATTTCAGAATTTTCAAATTTAACTAAGGATTTCTGTTAGTCTAAAGAACTGCTTCTACTTAGAATGTATAGAAGAAACTGCTAATTTTACTTCTTTTAAATTATGAGTATTGAGAATAAATATGCAACGAGTGATATACAGTCAAGGTCAGCACCAGAACCAGTCTAGCAGAATTTTTAGAATTTAGTGGAGCACCAAGAAACAAAATTTAGGGCAGAGAGTAATGTATGGTGCACTGAGATATATACAGGGTGATCTTTTTTAAAGTGACAGTGTTTGGAGCGCCCTGTAGCGTGATCTAATAGCCGAAATGGCACCAAACTTGGTATTTAGACTAATCAAGACATACAATCGTACAGTTAAATTATTAATGTTTATTTACTACATTAACTTCCTCAGTGAGGAATTAGACCACATTCAACGTGAGCACCGTTCTCAGAAATAACACCGTACATTTTGTGCACAACGTTCTCCACAGCCGTACGTAACATATCACGAGGAATATTCCGCACTGTCTTTGTTATGTTGTCCTTTAGAATAGACAAATTTGATACTCCACCAAAATAAACTTGAGATTTCAAATAAACCTGAAGCCAAAAATCACATGGCGTGAGGTCAGGGAAATGAGGCGGCCATGCAACTGAAAACTGCCACTTATGACTCTATCATCAGTGAAGTTTTGGCGCAACAGCTGCTTAATCTTATTACTAATGTGTGGCGGAACACCATCCTGCATAAAGATTGTCTGTTGGAGATGGTTTTTTTGTTGAAGTTGTGGAATAACAAACGTTTGCAGTATTTCGTGGTACCTTTCTGCATTTATGGTGCATGTTTGGGGTCTTGTCGGAGTGATGGTCTCAAAAAAGAATAGCCCAATTACGAATTCGGCTCTGAAACCTGTGACACCAAACAGTGACTTTTGGGGAATTTAATGGGATTTTTGTGCACGGTGTGGGGCTGCTCAGAAGCCCACAAATTCGGGCTATTTTGTTTTGTGTGTTTACAGACCCATTGAGATAAAAAAAAATGGCACTCATCTCCCCACAGAAATGTGCCATGGGAAAGCATCATCAATTTCTAACCTGGCAAGAAACGATAGAGCGAATGTCAAGCTCGCTTAATCATAATCACTTGGATTTCAGTTTCGTGCAAGCGGCCTGATTTTGTAGGGGGTAAAATCTAATATAATGCGCCGCAAAACTCTCCATACCATGGAATAATTCATGTCCAATTGTCGAGCTACACCCCGGCGCTGCTAGTATCAGCAATGGTTCCATGCGATCCTTCGACAACTGCAGTTGCCACATCAGTTATTACATCTTCTGATACTGTTTACGTCCTTTCCCAGCGCATAAGGTCAGTGAACCTGTTCCCTCGAACTTCTTAATCATTTTCTTAAGACCATTCAGCGATAAAGGCCCCTTTCGTAATTTTTTTCTGGTTCGAAACTCACGAAGAGCTGTGGATGCATTACATTGATTCATGTAATACAGCTTCACCAGTAATGCATGTTCCGGTAACGTGAGAGGCATGTCCACTGGAGCTCGTTTACTTCAGCTGAGATTATTTGTCGGAGCTGTCTACTTGCTTTTATTGCCCTTATTACTGCCGCTGTCATCGCACAACATTTGCATTTTTCTTTGATACACGTGTTTTATGCTAATTCTTGTTATTGTAAGCTACAGCAGCGCAAAAAATGCCCTAGCGGCGATTTTTGGAACTAAATTTGTTTTCATGGAATCCTTTTTCCCACGTCGTGATTAGTCTAAATACCAAGTATGGTGCCATTTCGGCTATTAAATTGCGTTACAGAGTGCTCCAAACCCTGTCACTTTAAAGAAATGCATTACTAATTTTTTTCTTAAATATAATTTTAATATATCCTTACTAAGATATTTATCAATAATATTATGTTTGTAAATAAAATCACCAAAACTTCATAAATCTCTGAATAATAATTTTTGCATAAAAACTGATCTTGAGTGTAGGTTTCAATCGAGGCAGAGCCTCATACCCTTAACTCGAATATCTACCATTTATATTAAGAAGTAGGAAAGAATTCAAGGATTAACACATCAAATGCATATTTGTCAATATAGTGATCCGCCGAAAAAACCCCTCAGCATTAATTCACACTCAAAATGGGAGTCAGAAAAAACACAGAAATGTTAGATGAGTAAAACTGAGGATCGGTTATGGCTTAAATTAAGGACCAATAATCATTCACCCCAAAACTAAGGACTTTTAAGGATTTTAAGAACCCTGTGTATAACAGTCCATCTGTTAGCCCTAAAACACTTTCGTTTATTTAATCCTGAATAAAATTAGAACTTTGCATTATTGAAATCCATGCCAATTAATCTGAATATTGAAAATGTTTTTAAAACTTTATATAAATAGGAATAAAATTTCAATGCCATTTAAAGCATTTCAATTAATAAACATTCAAGAAAAAAATATTTAAAATCTTAAAATCTTTTATCCTGCTTTTAACGTTCAACTTTAATCACTTATTCTTAAATATACGAAAATGGTTCCCAGGCATTTTTACAATCAAATGTTTTATGTGGTCCTGTTCAAGATAAATTTTAAAATAAAATAACAAATGCATAACAAAGTCAACAGCATTACCTTTTAATCTTAAGATAATGGAAATTAAAATACTGTATTTACTCAAATATTCCTCTCTTTTTTTTTTTTTTTTCTTCCAATTTTATTGCACAAAAATCGTGAAGGGGAAAATATGCAAATTATTTAATTTCCAAACAACACAGTTACAATAACATAACAAATAAAAAGTTTTCATGGATAAACTACCACTGATACTACAATATTATTAATTTCAAAGAAACCTATATCTCAATCAAAATACATACTAATATTAACAATAGCAGAATCAAACAAGACCTTCATCCTACATATTGTTAACCACTATTACTCCCAAGGCATCACATAAACATTTAATACACAAAATTTATGTTCCAGCTGCACAAATTTTGCATTTAAATTGCTTGCAAGTTGTTGCCATTGTTCAATTTGTCTTCCCATGTGCAGTGATTTTGAAAAACAAAATCATAAGCTTTAGATATGTTTTCTTGAAACCCTTTACTATTACTGCTTCAACAACCAAACTCCACGTACTGAAAATTCAACAGCAAATTAGTACGATAAGAAAAATCCCCGTGTGGACAAATTCATTTTATGTCTTGGAAAGGCCACTTTCTGAACAATGAGGAAAGAGAAGATTATGTGAATACTTAAAAATATTCAGAATCCTGTAATAAGGATAAGGGGAACAATACAAGAATAAATATGGTATACAATTTCACTATCAATATCTTTATTAAATGACAACTCGCTAGTTTTTTTTTTTTTTTTTTTTTTTTTTGTATGTATGCATTTATAACAATATCACTTAAAATTCTAGTTTTCTTATGAAGATATAATGGCATTTTCTGTTAATCCACAACATGAATTTACACACTTTACCATCATTTTGCTAAGCAGTATTTACGAGCTGTATAAATGTAAATATTGGCAATATACATTTCTTGTTTACTATTATTATTAACGACTAGAATAGTACTGATGAGTTAAAGTTTTATTTCCCAGTTCATAAAGATCTGAGAGATGGAGGAATAACCAGAAAGTTCTGATTAATTCACAAATGATGCTGCCTTGGTCAGAAAAGCTACTGATGGAATAACCATTTTCTAATTTTAAAACTATATCTACAAAATCAAGCAGTGTCTATCCAGAAATGGGGAAAAGGTTAAAACTTATTGTCTATAGCTACAACATATATTTTTCATTGGGATGAATAATAAAATTATCTCAGTTACCAGATGATTCAGATAAAGTTTTTTTGCTCGAATTTTTGTCAGCCTTGTCAGAAGACACAGAAGATTTTTTTTTATCTGGTGATGTAGCATAACTTGGAGGGGGACCAGCAAATACTTCTTCAAATCGAAATTCGTTTAACTGTAATTTAGCAACTGCACTTTCCTGAGGAGAAATAATATATTAAGAATAAATTAACTTTCTTAAATGAAAAATCATAAATTAAACACATATATATTCATGGAATATCAAAAACAAAACACAGCAAAATTTCTTAGAATCATTAATTTTTATTTCAGATAAAACATTCATACTTATATGATAAATCTAAAAAATATTTACCTTAACTTTCCAAACGCCATCTTTAGGCTGTGTGTGATACTTAATAAACAACTTATTTCTTGGTTTGGTATATGTTCCCTTTGGTCGACTAAAACAAATATTTAGTAACATTAGTATCTTAACAGTACTAAACATAAAACACTACTTACCTAGTAAAATAAGATTAATTCTTATACAAGTTTTTCTTCAATAACAACATAAAGGAAAAACCGATGTCGTAATTTTATTTACTAAATTATAATCTCTTTTAAAATTTAGATAAATACATTAATTATACATGAGGGCATGCATAAATATGTCAATAAAAAAAATCTCAGTACATGTAGATGTTAGATATTTGTTGTGAATGTAATAACTGGAAAAGTTTTAGGAACATATACCATAATTGCATGTCACTTTTTTTTTGTTACACCTCACTGCTCTTTATTTAAAAGAAGAACTGTATATCTAGAAAATTTTGCTAGATGAACTAGCTCTTATTTACAGCCCATATGAGGAAAATCTGACTTAAATGTGAAGTGAATTAGGAGAAACTATCAGTGTTGGATAGTGTTAGTACCTACACAGCTACTAGTAGTTAAGGGGTGACATTTTACTAATGAAAATTTTCACTATAGCCATCTATAAAATGAAAGAACTAAATTCGCCTCAGATTGTTTAAGTCTTGCGATAAAAATGAAATTTTTTCATAGATTAATTACTTTTATATAAAATAAGCTTCAATTTGAGATTCTGTAGTTAATTTACTATGTATTCAATAGTAATACTGTAAGAAACAATATAAAATAATATATAGTTGTGTTATATATAGCAAAAATAAATAAATCAAATAAAAGAGATATAGCCTGCTTGTTCTATAGAAATATAAAGAAAACAAAATTACCATATATTTTCTGCTTTAACAACAGCTGTCTTTCCAGTATCATAATCTACAACTTCATATTTTATCTTTGAAGGAGTGATATCTTTTTTCTTTTGCCTAAATATGAAAGATTATCAGTTTGATTTACACTTACGTATAAAATATCACAATATAACGGATATCTGTATACTGTGTATATAAGCAAAATTAAAAAAAAAAAAAAAAAAAAAAAAAAAAAAAAAAAAAAAAAAAAAAAAGACACTTGCAATGACAATATCAATTATTGCAACTGATGTATCAATTTATAAGTATCTCTTGGATTTCTTGAAATAATGTGGATGTTGATAGCATGTAGCTGGTGTGGTACTATGAAAAACCTCATGCCCTTAAGGATGGTAAATGACCTTGGAGTTTGATTCTGGTTATATTACAAGGCTACCACTACAGTACAAAGTCGGTAATCTGGACTCGTCAGCACTTTGGGATTATAGATCATCAATTTAAATCTGGTAAGACGGCATGCATAAAATACAAAATTAAAAATATGAAATCGTAATTTATGAAATAAAGAGCAATTATGACATAAAGGGTTCAAAAGTTACAAAAAAAAGGCTTAATATTTGTTTACTTTATTAAACATTTCTTTCAATGTAAGTTGTTTAAGTTGCTTTGTTTTTTCAGCTAATACTTTCTCTTTAATTCTATAAACAGACATAATTTCTTGTTCGGTTACAAAGTTCCACTGTTCAAGTCCTGTAATTGCTGTGTTGAGAATACTGATTAATTTGTCAATCGAAATTTTTTCGTTTTCAATAACCTCTCTGTCACTTTCTTCACTATCGGAAGAGGTATTTTCTGGATCTAAAACCATACTACAGATTTGGCCGTCCATTAACTGATTAATGATTGGGGCATTATCGTCGCAATGAAAAACTTCTGTTATATCATCTTCTTTTATTACCGCTTCTCCACATTTCATAACAAAATCTAATAACTGGAAAATCTCACCTTTAGTTTGCAATGTCCGAAAAACCTTCAAATTCATGAGTATCATCTTCATCGTCCTCACCATGAAATATGGTAGCTGGCCATTAATTATGCCAAGCATTTTTTAACGTATCTGGAGACACATCCTTCAAATGCGCATGTGTAAAGCATACAAAAAACAGTTTGTGGCTTTGAGATCCGGAATATAGATTCCGGATAACAGACGTCCGGATTACGAACTTTGTACTGTATTATAAAAGTGCATCTATACAATAGCAGGAAATATTTAATTGTTTTGTCGTGCGAGCATTTGATTAGCCCACGGGACTGTTAAACTCTTCCTGATTATTTTTAATGGAGCATGAGGGGATGTGACTCGTCATTGCAACTGAAACCGTTATGAGCATGTTTGCGAGTCCTCTACATTGATGTGAATGGTTTTTATATCGATGACCTTGAATGTTACAAGAACACACATCTCTGCCGCCACTGGACAGATTACGGAGAATGTTACATTTCCCACACAGCAACACAGAGCCAAACTAGGCATGCTCATGCACTCGCCTGCAGTCCACCACTGTGTTTAGTACCAAAGCTTTTTTATTCCAAGGGGCTGATCGACCAATGATTCTCCAGGTGTTCTGATATATTATAACAAACTGGGAGCTGCAAAATACAATATAAAAACTAAAAAGGCATGGTCAATGGTCTGCAAAATGTACTAGACAGAGCAAATACCAGAGAAAACTTCAATTCTCAACTAGAGAGCTGCTGCTGCTAACAAGATCTTTGCAAAAGGCAATTAGCTTGTGCTTACTTTTGAAAGCCATCTTGATACTGCTTCTTTGGATTTAAATATTGATCATTAATTTGTTACTGATGTTATGATATTAAATTTCTCCAGATTTATAAATAAATATGAGATTGCAGTTGCACATGCAACAAAACCACCAGTCACTCTAATAGTGGGTCTGCTGCATAAAATACACATCACTCCGAACTGCTTGCACCTAGGCAGCTGTTTTGATGCAACTGATTAAGCACAAGGCTACGGAATTTGATGTTGAAAGTTCTAACCTCAGTCACAAAAATAAACGAGCTAAGAACATTGACGTTCAAAATTAACATCCAAGGGCAAATAGTTCCCAATACCAATTATAAATGGTACAAGATCAGTCAAGGTGTAAAAACCACAGGCAACAAACAAGGCCATTGCCACAATTTGATCATATTTGTGCCTTTTATACATCTTTATAACAATTATGATAGAATAATTAAAAAAAAGTGCAGCAGCAAAAATGTAAGCAAATTTGCAGTTGCAAAGTGAAAGAATACAACATGTCTAAGATGAAAGCTTGATTTATACTTAATCTCCACGGGTTGATTAAAAGTTTTGGTTCCAAACTGAAATTATTAGATGAAGCCTGTGTCATTCGTATCACACAAGAATCGTATGACATTGGTTAATTTTGAAATAATGCAATTTATAGCAATTTATTTTAAACAGTTATTATTTTTAGAACAGAATAAGGAAACATCCAAATAGAGAATCTAGACTATAGCAAATTAGAATTTTGATTTACATATAATTTTTTATCCTGCATATGTTTACAAAAGAACAACAACACTTTGCTTCACAACTTTTGCCAGTATTCTAATAATCATCATTTTTTGGTGTAAAATATAAACTACACATTTCTTTCGAGTTGCATATAAACAAGTTATATCTTAATGAATGCTTTTTAAAAATGTAAATGCATTTTAAAATTTTCTTTTAATATTGCTTTTAATGACGTTCAGTCAATTTATTACTTTTGCAATTCATCCAGATAAAATTCAGAAACACGGCTTTGTTGATAATTTCTTTAGCTGCCTGTGATTAAGGCTACAGAATAATTAATTTTAATGTTGTTTTAGTTTTAATTTACTTCCATTTCAGAATTTGTTTTCAAGTATATGCTTCATATCACTTTTTGATTAATTCTTCAGGTTAAATAACTTGCCATTTTTGGTAGAGATGTACATTCTTAATTTTTTTATATACACACAAAGAAAAAAGTAAGAGAGTAAATGATGAAAACATATAAAAATTTATTTTCTTGAGCTTAAATTTTAGAATTGAACAAATGCATGTTACATTTTTAAGACAGCAAACAATTTTTTAGACCATTGCAGGATAAAATACATTCAAAAAAGCTCTTAATGAAAATATTGCAATTTTTGACACTTAACTAAATTTACCAATTTCAAGCTAACCCCTTAAAAACTTTTCATGATTGGCTTACAGTCAGCATCTTTAATAAGATTCAATGATTTAATTTTCATGCATTTCATTTTTGATTTTCTGAAGTCAGCTCAAAATTGGTATCAGCTTGTTTAATAAAATACAATATCAATTATTTTAAATTCATTTAAAATCTTTAATAAAGAGTTTTCCAATTTTACTTATTATCAGTTTTCACCGGACTTCGGATAGGCCTCTCTGGAAGCACAACTTGGGTAATTTCACAGGATTTCCTGAAACAAAATAAATAAATCAGTAAAATTATGCCATATTACTCTAGACAATTCACAGTTACATTTAAAACAGTCTAATAGTTTTAAGAATCATATTTTGTAATTAGTAATGATCAGAAAACTTAGAAAAATTAAAGACTTAATTCTTCTGTTTAAATAAAAGTTCCTTGAAAGGATAGATAACCACACATTTTAAATCATTTTCCCCTGTTCCACAATACAAAGTCTTCGACTTTTAGTAATGTTAAATAATGCATACAGTTTAGTTTACAAGATCAAATATTAAATCAGGAATGATTCAGTCTTATCACGACAGTTGCCATAACAAGTAACAAAATTACATGCAGATTCATGCAACAAATGGAATTCAATTTTTGCTTAATAACAGAGGTTATTCCATAAAATTACATAAACAGATAAGTGTAAATCTTAATTTCAGGTACTAATAGCGCATACTTAAATCCCCTGTTAGTATTCTTTGGCACTTGAATGCCTCTACAATTAAAGCTTTGGCAGTATTGGTGAAGTTGCTGTTCTCGACATTGGACAGGGGAAAAAAAAAAGTTTCTGTTAATTTGACAAGAGGTAGAAGTGTGTTGCTGCACAGGAAAAAAAAAAAAAATTTATACACAGCCAACCACTAGGGAACTTATATAAATAATTCTTCTAAAAAGGTATTTATTTTGAATAGAAGGCATCAAATTTTGAAATTTTTTTAGAAGAGCTCAAAGACTGTGTGGTACAGATTAGTAATAAATTTTATATTGCTGGAACTTTCACTACTCCGAACTGGGTAGGTCACGAGAAGGCTATACATTCTACATATCAGTGTTCCACAGCTTAGTTGCTCAGATATTAGTGGGTCTTGACATACACTGCTCGACATTGAAAATGCAACACCAAGAAGGAGTGGTCAGAAAGTGATGCAATTTGCAAAAAAGACAGAGACAGCAAGCAGCAATAATTGATCTTTATTTCAAAATGATAATCAGAATAGAGAGCGAGAACGCATCGGCTCAGTAGGATGTAGGACCACCTCAGACAGCGATTGCACGGAGAAACACGTCTAGGCATAGAGTCAATAAGAGTGCAGATGGTGTAATGAAGGATGGCTCTCCATTCCCTTTCAACCATTTACTACAAATTCGTCTTCTGAATGAGGCAAGGGCAGAGTCTGCAAACGGCGTCCAATCGCATCCCTCACATGTTCGATTGGTGACAGGTCAGGAGAGTACGGTGGCCAGGGAAGCATCTGTATAACTCGGAGAGCACGTTGGCAGATGCGAGCACTCTGTGGTCGGGCATTATCATGCTGAAAAATTGCATTAAACAGCCCTTGAAGGTAGGGAATTGCCTCCGGCCGCAGTACATTATCCAAGTATCGTTGGGCCGTCATAGTGCCCTGAATACCAACTAGAAGTGACCTGGAATTTGTAGGCAATAACACCCCAAACCATTATGCCACGCTGTCAAACGTTCTACAGTTACTGCCGAATTAGATGTCTCCACGCCGACGCCACATACATATGAGGCGACTCTCACTGGATAAACAGAAGCGCGACTCATATGAGAACACGACATTTCGCCATTCTGTCATCCACATCACTCCACTCGACCACCATTCTAAACGTTGCTGTCTATGCTGTGGGGTCAATGGCAGTCTTCTTAACAGACACCATGAGTGCAGGCCACGTTCAATCAATCGACGGGAAATGGTTCTGGTCGACACGGGAACATCCAGGGTATCTTGCACATGCTGCAGAATCGTGGTACAAGTGACTTGCTGGATCCCCACAGCTTGTCAGCGGATGCGTTGATCCACGCGTGCTGACATCACTCTGGCTGTATCTGCACCCCTCTTTCTTCACACATTTCCTTGTTCCAACCACGTTCGCCATAGCTGATGCACCGTGCTCGCATCCAAGTGGGTATTAGGTGCGATTTGATGTAAGACCAACCCGCCCTTTTCAGTCCGATCACCATGCCCCTCCTAAAATCGTCTTACCTGCTGGAAATGCCTTCGTTGACAGCGGCCTGGTATTCTCTCCTATTATACGTATCCTCCAGGACAAAACCCAACTTTCTTCGATAATTCGTCTAGCAGAAATAACGATACGAATATTGCCCATTCTGCACGTTCCTTCTGTGCATTTCACATCATTCGCATAACTCAGTGACGTGCATCTATTCTAAAATTTGCATAAATTTCTGACTACTTATTCTTGGTGTTGCATTTTCAATGTCGAGCAGCGTACATTAAAAGAAACACAATAAATAATTAAAAAAGTCAAAGATTAAATAAATTTGTAGGTTTTCATAGCAAGTTTTAGTATTTGAAAATAAAAGACATTTCAAATTAAATTTATCAAAATGAGAGCATCAAAATGTAAAAAAATATTACAAGCACCAAATTTAAATTATTTAGTAGGCAGGAAAAAATTACTTTTCTTTCCCAGCTATTAATCATACAAGCCTGTGATGCTTGTGTTTAACTTTTGATAATTGATTCTTATGTATTTTTTGGTGCTCAATCCGAAAACTACATTCATTCTTTAGCACCATTTGGGGATTTTTCATAAATTGCGAAACTGTTAACAAGTTAAACAATATGAAAATATAATACTTTATAATTTATTTCCTTTTTTAAGCTTATACTAAGCATCTAATATCTACATACCTCGAAGCAATTTTTTCGAAATTCGCATTTTTTTAATTTTATGTTTTGTGACAAAATCGCGTCATTTTGAGACACTATGGGCTATAGGAAAGCGAGATTTTACTCTACACATTCCATTTTCACATCGTCATAAAACATAGGCACTTAGCTATTTTATGAACTTAAATTTTGTGTCTCAGTAAATTGATTAAATACGAATTTATTTAACAAAGGAAGCTTAACACCTTTTCAACGGAATTTTTTCAAAAAAAAAATTTTTTTTTTTTAAATGTACAGTTGGTTAATTTTTTTATTAGGATAATTAATATTTGTATCAAGGGATATAGCTTATTTCATTGTAATTTTTATCTCTTGAAAATATAAGATAAAATATCATTAATTATACTTTGCTTTTCAGAATTTTTTGTATTCTTTTATGTTATTTATTGCTAATTTCACTGTTTTTAAGATACTGATAAATTTTGAGTGACTTTTTTAGGAAACAAAGTTCTTAACCTCCTTTATACCATTTGAGTTCTCAAAGGGAAGTTGGTTAATTTATTTATTAGGATAATTAATATTTGTATTAAAGGATATTGCTTATTTCACTGGAATTTTGTTATACATAATAACTTTTTTTTTATGAAGTTGTTTTGCAGAGTAAAATTCTAAGCAGTTTTTAAATTTAACATTTCATTCAGCCATTTTTCCGGTACATTTAAAAGCCAAACGAAGGCTGGCAGCGAAGCTACTAGTACCAAATATACGAGGGCACTGATGCTCGGTCCATTAAACCCCTTCAGTTTTCTAATGAAAATTGCAATAAATGAGCCAAATTTTCTAATGATTCTAACTAAATGATTTGGTTTGAGGCTTAAGGAGATTAAGAAGAACCTGCTCACAACTACCATTTAATTTTTCTTGTTCAGGTACAAAGAAAGGGATTCCTTTCCATACTTTTCAGAAGCAAACTCCGTCTTCTGCTCAAACTTTTGAATCAATTTAACATTTTTAAGTAGCAAAAACAAACAAACAAAAAAAAAAAAAAAAAAAAAGTATAACAAAAGTACCCACAGGAGGATGTTTATAGAATCATTCAAAAGAACACTGAATTGTCCTATATAATGGGAATACATGTGCATCGATAAGTGTCAGCATTCTATGCATTTCATCTAAAACAGTGTTACAAAGATTTGGAATTCATTCTTAAAAAATTAAATAAGATGATTGATTGAAAGTGGATGTGACATTTTCAAAATTATATTGACGCTCCTAGGACAGTTCCTTGTTTTTAAGTGAACAGGATGACAAAGAAATGACAAAAATGGGCTCCACTAGAATCTAGAACCAAAAGTGTGCCCCGAAAACCTCTCATAAATCCAAATTAAGTTTTCTATCCTTTCTACATATCAAGTTAAGCTTGGTTAAGCAGTGTGTCAAAGCCTTCCAAAAGAAGGTCAATGTTTTAGATACACAAATACAATACAGAGCAAATTTCCAGCCTTATCAGCCACCAAACTAAAAGAGGATGTTCTTTACTGGTCCCGACAATAGAAAGTCTCAAAGATGGTAATTTTGAGAAACAAATGGAAGATGTGGAAAAAGACGCGTGGCGAGCCTTGACTTAACAACTAGGTTCTGGGCAACAAGAAAGGCTCCACTCAGGGCTGTGAAGTCGGAGTCATGCAGATTTTGGGGTAAAAGGAGTCGGAGCTAGAGTCTTTAAAAACAGGTCGAATTTGACTCCAGTTTTGTTGGACAGTTTGAATTGGAAATGAAATTAAAATGAATTGAAAAAAAAAAAAAAAAAAAATTAATGGCAAGCTGAGTTATTTTAATTTATGGAGTGTATACATTAATAAATAGTTATTTTCTATTTTATTGACCTGCAATAAATATAAAGAAGGAAGATGGATGTGATAGTTGCCATTAGTGATTAAACTGATTCATTTAGTTACAAATCTCACTGGTAAATTTAGGTAAGCAGCATACCTCCTAAATTGATGCCATTCTTAGGAAGCGAGCAATTATTAATCAAGCAATGTGATAAGGAAGTACATATTTGATGATAATGAGGTTTTTAGAATTAAAAACTTTTTTAGATGCAGATAACCCTAATGTTTCACTAACAGAAAGACAGTGGAATGATCTTGCATAATTGGACACTCTTTATACCATATATAGCCACAAAAAAGCTGCAATCTGAAGAATTGATAGGAGGTGAGAATGGGATGTTTGTTTTTTTATGAAATGGAGGTATTAGTTCAACTCATTGCAAACTTTTATTCATAATCATGAACAGCACTAAAAACTTATACAGAAAAAAATTACAGACGTCCACCTT